CTACTTTGGAACCTTTAATGCCCAAACTTGCTGTAGTTGCTACTTTTGCTCCTGAAAGTGGCTACTTTGAGGGCAACTTTCATCCAAGGGCCAAGATTTCTCAAAATTAACTTGGGGACTCTGCAAAATTATCAAGATAATTAAAATTGCAATCTATATCTATGTAATTAAATGCAAATTAACCAAAAATTAATAAACCTATGATATTTACTCAAAATGTGATTTCTAAATTATTTGCACTATCTAAGTCCATTTTTTCTATCAAGGAGCACCAAAAAGGCAAGTAAAAATATAATAAAAAGTGGATTCGTCATGACACTACTTCCCCCCCCCCCCAATTTGCAAAATTCAGGATAGATTACGAGGACTACCCCTTTAGAGAAAGGAGAAAAGCTAGTGGCATGCTAGCCTAAGTGTAACATAAGTAAACAGTAAAAGAAATAATTGAGGCAAGTTAAATTCAAAAATTAAAACACGTTTATATATATATATATATATATATATATATATTGTGTGTGTATGTGTGTGTGTGTTGTAACATCCTATGCTTTGTGTCATGCCTATAGTATATCATTGAGAAAAATCTGTAGTACTTTGTGAGCAGAAAGAAATCGTGTATGTACAGTAGCCCCTGATGTCAACAATGACATCATGTTGATGTCATCGACGACATCACGCTGATGTCATTGGCGACATCACACTGACATCATCGCTTACATCATCGGTGACATCACGCTGACATCATCGCTTGGATCATGCTGACATCATCGCTTACATCACGTTGACGCTGACATCATTGCTTGCATCACGCTGACATCATCGCTTGTATCATGCTGACATCATCGCTTACATCACATTGACGCTGACATCTTCAAAAAAATTTCTATAAATAGAAGGCTTCACATGAAATTTTCATTTCTTCACTCCTACCCAAGGTTCTCGAAGGTTCTAAGGTCATATCTCGTCATTTTCTCCCATACTAAACCTCCTAAACTTAGATTTCTCTTCAGATCTATGATTTTACGTCCGTTCTAAAGGATTTCAAGTAAGTTTCTCTAAGTTTGAAGTTAGATTTACCGTTCGTTTCTCTTTTTCTTCTTTTTCTTATAGATGTTTATGATGTTCTTAGGAAAAAACTTCGTTCTAGGGTTAAATCCTTATAAAAGCTCTGTTTTGAGGTAAGGGGGCTCTACTTTATCATTTTGTTATGTTTATTACTTGTATTCTCATAGATCTTGCCATGTATGTGATTATATGTGGAATAATCCTTGTTTTATGAAAAATAATCGGTGAAAAGTGAGAATAATTGGCTGTTTATGTGATTTATGATGAATATATGGTGAAAATGTGATATTATGTTCAAATAAGGCATGATAAGGTATATTGAGGATGGTTGATATGATTATATGGTTTTGTGATATGAAATATACAAAGAGATGGATATTTCATGTTTGAATATATTGTGTTTCATGTAAAAATGATGTGTATTGTGAATATTGCATAGTTTGGTGTATATGATGAAAAGTATGTGGAAATATGATGAAAAATATGTGTGAACATGAGAAATGACATATGTGAACATGTGAATATACTCGAAAGAGTATGAGATGAAAAAAGATATGATGTAAATAGTTACAGAGATACACTGGGGAGTGGAAGATGGAGACGATATGGGATATCTTGGGGAAATGTAGGGTGGTGAGTGACATTCGAGATTGTGCACGGAATATTGTGTTCGAATGCACCACATGGCCACACACTCATTTCTCGACTTGACTCCTGACCATTACCTTTGCTAAGGGGCCGTCTATTGCATGCGTTGTATCCGTATTGCATTGGGCCATCCAGCGACTATTTACATGAATGTGTAAGACCTCGGGATAGAGGCATCGGATAACTGTGGCCATAGGGTGCGGTAAGCGCGGATGAAAGTAAAAGAAATTGTGAATCTATGGAATATAATATGTGTTGAGATGAGAATATGCTATATATGACACAGTGATATGTAATGCCATGATGTTTTCTTTAATCGTGATAAGATGTGTGTGATGAATGTGTTATGTATGAGTGGTAGGGTAGAGACTCACCTTTACACAACATTTTTCAGGAAACCAGGATGAATAGTACCAGGCTCACAGTGCATGGATGGATGAGAACTGCTATAAGACTTAGTTATTTTGAGTTATGTAATGAATATTTTCAGTTCTATAGCATTCTTTTGAAACATTTGTAAAACTACTATTTCTTTTTATTGCTGATGAAAATTTTAGAATCTTTGTTTTTCTAAAGTACCTATGAATTAATAAAATTTTACTCTTTGAACCTTATATCATTTCAATGTCTCTTTCTTATTAGAGAGTTTTGAAAGAAAATTTACTTTACCATTTAAATTTTTATGAAAATTTATCATATATTGAGGAAAGAAATTTAAGATGTTACATGTGTGAATAAGAAAGGATATTTTTGGAGTGTTACAACACTCCCCTACTTCAAGAAATTTTGTCCTCAAAATTTGACTAACTTGTATGAAATAGCTGAGGACATGTTCGTCTCATATCTTCTTCCAACTCCCACGTAGCATCGTTCTCATCAATAGTACTCTAAACTACTTTGACCAAATAGATTTCTTTATTTCGAAGCTTCTTGACTTGGTGGTCAATAATTTGAAAAGGCTTTGCTTAGAAAGTTAAGTTTTCCTTTATAGCAACTTGATCTGACTCAATAACTTGTAATGGGTCAGGAGTATATTTTTGAAGTTAAAAGATATGAAAAACACTATGAAGGTTGGACAGATTTGGGGGTAGGGCTATTTGGTAAGCTGAACTTCTCACCTTTTTAAGTATTTGGTATGGGCCGATAAATTTTGGATTGAGTTTTCGGGGCTTCAAAATTCTTCCTATCCTCGTTGTTGGGGTGACACGGAGAAACGTGTGGTCTCCTTCTTCAAACTCGAGAGGCTTCATCCGTTTGTCATAATAACTCTTCTGGCGGTCTAGAGAGGATTTCATTTTCTCACGTATCATCCTAATCTTGTTTTTGGTTTCTTGAACTATTTCTAGACCGATGAGTAAACTTTCACCAGTTTTGAAACAACACAATGGTGTCTGACACTTCCTCCCATAAATAGCTTCGTAGGGTGCCATTCTAATGCCAGAATGGTAGTTGTTGTTATAAACAAATTCAATCAAGGGTAAATGCTTATCTCATTGGCCTCCCTATTCCAAAATGCAAGCCCTCAATAAGTCTTTTAAAGTTTGGATGGTTCTTTCAGATTGTCTATCCATTTAAGAATGATATGTCGAAATGAGTCGTAACTTCGTCCCTAAAGCCTGATGATGTAAACTTTCCCAAAATCTTGACGTGAAATAAGGATCTATATCGGATATAATACTTTTTAGTACGCCATGCAATCGTACAATCTCCTTGACGTAAATTCGAGTTAACTTGTCCAAGGAATACTTCATGTTTATCGGAATAAAGTAAGCAGATTTGGTAAGGTGATCTACAATAACCTAAATGGCATCTTGACCCGTGGTCGTCCTTGGGAATCCATATACAAAGTCCATGGCTATATCATCCCATTTCCATTCAAGGACACTTAAAGGTTGCAACTGACCAGCTAGTCTTTAGTGTTCCACCTTAGCCTTTTGGCATATCAAACACGAGGCTACAAATTCTGCAACTGCTTCCTTCATTCATTGCCACAAAAAGGTCTTCTTTAAGTCTTAATACATCTTAGTGGCACCTGGATGGATGCTAAGTTTACTCTTATGGGTTACTTCTAACACTAAACGCCAAAAGTCATTGTGAGTTGCTCTTTCAGAAATTCATCACGTTTCTAGGCAATTCGAACCTGTTCTAGAAATTCATTAGAAATCTTGAGCATCCGAAGTATTAGACTATTTGTTTAGACTTGGACAACCAAATTCAAATTTCTAAAGGATTCTACTAATTCCAGTTCCTTAACCATTAAAGAGGACGCATGCAATGCCTTATGACTTAGAGCGTCTGCTACCATGTTAGTCTTTCCTAGGTGATAATGTAGTTCAAAGTCATAATCTTTCAAGAATTCCATCAACCTTTGCTGACGCATATTCAACTCCTTTTGATCGAAGTGATACTTTAAACTTTTATGGTCACAGAAGACTTCAAACCGAGCTCCATAAAGGTGATGTCTCCAAATTTTAAGTGCGAAAACAACTCGTGATGCATATGTCACTACCTTCCTTTCTTGCATCAACACACATCCTAGACCTTGATGAGAAGCATTGCAATACACTTCAAATTTCTTGTAAGAGTCCGGTAAAATTCACATTGGTGCAGAAATTAGTCTATTCTTCAGTTCACAGAAACTGGTTGCACACTTTTGGTCCCATTCGAATTATTGGTTCTTGTGAGTCAAACGGGTCAAAGGAACAACTATCTCGAGAATCCTTCAATAAAACAGCGATAATAACTGGCAAGTCCAAGGAAACTTTGAAGGTTCGCATTGTAACATAGCTTCTACCTTCGAGGAGTCTTAAGCGATACCATCTTTGGAAATCACATGTCCCAAAAATTGTACCCTTTCTAACCAAAACTCAGATTTTGTAAACTTGGCATAGAGTTGTTTGTGGTGTAGGTTTCCAGCACAATCTTCAAATGTTTGGTATGCTCTTCATGGTGGCGAGAATAGATCAAGATATCATCTATGAAAACTACCACAAATCTGTCTAAGTAAGGGTGGAAGACACGATTCATATAGTACATAAATACTACAAGAGCATTCATCACTCCAAAGGGCATTACCATGTATTCATAATGGCCATAGCGAGTTTGAAAAGCAGTCTTTGGGATATCCTCTTCCTTGACTCTAATCTGATGGTATTTTGACCATAAATCTATCTTGGAGAATACTGTGGCTCCTCTTAGTCTTCCTATCTTCATAATCGCATACTTCCATCTTTCTTTTTGACAAGTAAAATAGGAGCTCCCCATGGTGAGACCCTCGGTCTTATGAATTATTTTGACAATAATTCCTCCAATTGCTTCTTTAACTCGACAAGTTTGATAGGAGACATTCTATAAGGTGCCATAAAGATAGGACCAGTGTCAGGCATCAGATCTATAGAGAATTCAATTTCTCTTATAGGAGGCAATCCTAAAATATCATCTGGAAATATGTTAGGAAAACAACAAACAACTGGCAATTTATCCAGAGAAGGGTTGTCCTTGTTATTTTCAGAGGCGAGAATCATGAACATCTGAATTACATCCTTCTTGGTCACACTCACAATTGAGATCTCCGAGTCATCTAGATTTCTACCCTCAACCTCATTGTCATTTGGAGGGTTGAGGATTAAGGTTCTTTTTTGACAATCTATTAAAACATGGTTGATTGAAAGCCAATTCATTCCTAAACTAATATCTATTTCAAAAAGAGGCAAACAGATGAAATTGACAAGGAAAACTTGGCCGTCAATGTGAAGTGGGCAATTCAAGCAAATGTGGTTTGCAGTTATAGGACTATTGGTAGGAGTAGAAACAAGAATATCACATTTCATCAGGGAGGTGGGTAAATCTAATTGTTTCACACAAGAATCAGAAATAAAAGAGTGGGTTGCACTAGAGTCATACAACACATTCAAAGGAGTTCCATGCATGAAGCACTTACCACGTATCAAGTCATCTGATTGAGTAGTCTCCGCACCCTTCATAGTCAACACCCTGCCTTTCGTATTTGGCCGTCCAAAAGGAACTTTGGAAGGTCCATTGGGGTTACGACTACCCACACTGCTTTGACCATGTTCATTCCCTTCACTTCGGTTCTAGTTTCCGCCGTTGTTTCCAGGAAATCTCCCCTTATTTAGCAGACAGTAACGGCTGAGATGACCTCGTTGTTGGCATCTAAAGCACACTACTGGATCACAGGAACACATCCTTTTAAGCTGTGGTCCATTACAATTGTGGAATCGAATGCTTAAATGATTCATGCTCCCCACTGGATCCTTGATTCTTTGAGAAATTGCTTCCTCCAAAACAGATGGGATTCAAGTACGGTTTGCATTTTTCTTGACTTTCTCTCCTTCTGGAGCTTGAGGTACCTACTTAGCACTGAGGTCCAGTACCCTTCCATGATGCTTGATATGCCTTGGTGTCATCTTCAAATATGCAACATCTATCTATTAATGTTGGAAAATGAGTCACATGTTGACAACTGATGGCTTGTTTGATGTCGAGTCTAAGTCCACTTTTGAATTTTAAAGATCGAGATCTATCATCAGCCTGAGTAAAATACGGGCAATACCTTAACAGCTGATCACGAGTGTCACGCTCAGACAAATTATTAAAAACAAATTGCATAAAAATTATGTAGTAAGAGGTGCAATCCGAGTCATCTCCTAATGATGATTAGTCATGCACTAACAGAAATCATGATAATGCACTTTACTATCTCCAAATTCCATGGATAATGTACCAGAATGCACATCAATCTTGGTCTTAGCAGTTTTCAAAAATGGCCTACCTAAGATCAATGTTGGTTGATTAGCAAGCAAATAATCCTCCATATCTAGCACATAGAAATCAGTAGGAAAAATAAGCTCATTTACCCTTACCAACACATCTTCTAAAACTCCTTCTAGATGTGTTGTGCTTCGGTTGGCAAGTGGGATGACCACTCCCGTTGGTTTGAGCTCACCAATGCATAATGACTGGTAAATGGATTTTGGCATGACATTTATGTAAGCTCCTAGATCCAACTGATCTCTATGTTTTCTATGACGCATGGAATGGTGAAAGTCCCTGGATCCTTGCATTTAGAAGGAATGCTTGGCTAGATGATGGCAGAAACATTTCTACCCATGCTCACCTTCTCATTTCCCTTCAGCGTCCTTCTGTGAGTACACAAATCCTTGAGAAAGTTGGCATAGTTTGGAATTTGTTTGATGATTTCTAGAAGTGGAATGTTGAGTTCCACTTTTCTGAATGTGTCCATACTCTCCTTGTCCAATTCAGCTTCTGCTCGCTTCTTGTTATGGGTCACTCTGTTGGGGAAAGGTAGTGGAATAATTTGTTCAGATTGCTTGCTACTGCTACAGCTGGTTGGTTCTGCACTATTTTTTTCATTTCTGCAGAATTGAATTTTTTTGGTTGGTCTGCAAAATTTGGTTTGTTATTTCTCTCTACATCATCAAGAACTTTCAGTAGCTTGCCACTCCTCAAAGTGATGGAACTCACATTCTTGGGATTGCTCATGAATTAGGAGGGAAGACTGCCAGAACCTTAAGACTTCAGCTCGTTTATTGTTGTTGCTAACTGACCAATCTGTGTTTGCAGATTCTGGATGTTGGCTTCTGTTCTTTGCTGGAACTAGACACTGCTAGTTGCCATCTGCTTCACCAATTCTGCCAAGCTTGGTTCTGAGCCACTGCCTTGTTGTTGATTTGGTTTAGCTTGTGGGTACTGCTGTCTCACGTTTAATCCTGCAACATTATACTTAAACTGGTTATAATTATTGCCATACCTCAAAGGTCTCTCCAGCCAGGATTATATGTATTGGAGAATGGATCATAATTCCTTTGCTGGTTCTGTTGTTGGTAAGGCCTCCCAGGAAAAATTCCTACAACAGTTTCAGTATTTTCTTGCAGCTGTGGACATTGTTCTATTTGATGTCCTGGTATGCAGCAATTCCACAAACGTTTGCTGCTGGTTGCTGAGGCCGTTGGCTGAGTGCTAATTGCCTCACCAAAGTTGTCAATTCATCTATTCTATTCTCCATCCTCTACTAGTTTGTATCAGAGGTTTGCACTTCATTCACTTCTCTAGTTGACACTATGGCTCAGGTACTAAACTATTGAGCATTTGCAGCCATGTTTGCAATTAATTCACGAGCTGCAGTAGGGGTTTTATCCACCAAAGCTCCTCCAGAAGCAGCATCAACTATACTTCTATTTATTGGCATGAGTCCTTCATAAAAATACTGAATGAGAAGCTGGTCACTAATTTGATAGTGTGGACAGCTTGCACACAATTTCTTGAACCTCTCCCAATACTCATGCAAGGTCTCACCCGAAATCTTCCTTATGCCACAATTTTCTTTTTTGATAGAGGCAGCTCTTGAGGCAGGGAAGAATTTTTCCAGAAACATCCTCTTAATAGAACCTAGATGCAAGTAGTATAACCAGTCCTTGGCAGATCCATCCAAAGAGAAAGGGAATGCCCTCAGCTTGATGTGATCTTCCTCCACTCCATGTGGTTTCATGGTTGAACACACCACATGGAATTCCTCCAAGTGCTTGTGAGGGTCCTCTTCAGCTAAACCATGAAACTTAGGCAGCAAATGTATTAGTCCAGATTTTAGCTCGAAGTCTGCATACAAATTCGGATACTGAATTGCCAAAGCTTGATAGTTGACATCTGGTGCTACAAGTTTCTTCAAGGTCCTGTCCATGCTTCCTAAAGAATCAACAGCAAAATTGTTAGCAGAATTATTCTGAAATGAACCTTTCTTATCTTTTCTAATTTGTCTAAGAGCCCTTTCTAATTCAGAATCAAATTCAACTAGGATTTGGATTAGATCTAGTCATGCACTAACAGAAAACTGCAATAACAAACAACAAAACTATAAATGCAGGGGTGAAGTAAGCAACATGCGAAATTACTCAAATTGTTTGCTACCCTAAGGTTGAACTATAAAAATCTAAAACTCAAATTGAGATCACAACTAGCCAATTGCCATTGCGCAGATTTCATCAAGCTATATGAAATGCATATATAATAATAGAAAATCGGAGCTGTATGTAAAAAGTTATGTCACTTTTAAGTTTTGCGGCAAAGATGTACACGGTCAGTTACACGCCCGTGTAGCTTACCATGTATATCTCTGTGTGAGTGTTCTATTTTAAAATTTACTGGCAGTGATCTGCAAAATTTTCAATCAAGATATTCATCCAATTACTCATCATTGCAATCACAATGCATTCATCAAATTTTAAGCAAGAATTGTTATCTAAGTGAATATATATCAGCCAAGTTCATGTGAGAAACATTAAAATCATGATCACTTCTCATTGGACAATGTTTCCCTCGATTCTCAGCAGTGTTTAAGTACTGTTTTCTCTCTTTAATCATCAATTCAGCTACACTCTACCATATGCTTGCCCAATTTCTCTATCTCCTCTGCTTAGTACAGCCAATCACACATCAAGAGGACTTTTTATAGTTTATAACAGGGCTTAGGTTAAGGTAGATACTGAACAAAATAAGAAACAAGTTGCAATTTCAAAATATCAGAAGCATTTTGAGTGAATGACTTTAAAACTAGTCTGGTTTAGCATCAATTCACATTAAATCCCTCAATTATGCAGCAAACAAATTGTTTTTGTGCAACAGAATTTTTATTTTCCTTTTTCTTCTCTTACTTCCATTTGCTCTTTTCTTTTCATTGAATTTCTTTTTCTTTTTCTCTGCAACAGTTTACTGTGAATTTCTTCTTTTTACTCTCCATTTTTCTCTTTTCAACTCAGATTCTGTTTTTGAACTCATGTTTTACTCTTTCCACAGTTTTGCTGCATAATTTTTCATTTTTCTGCAGCACTTTTGTTCTTTCTTTTTGACTTTTTGAACTCAAACTTAGATAGCTTGCTATTCCCCTACCCCAAACTTAAAAATTTGCATGTCCTCAAGCAACCTAAATGGATGCTACCCCAAACTTAGTTTTAAAACTCATTCTTGATTAAACTCACAATGCCTTTGATCAATTTGAATGGTAAAATTGGTTTTTCAGCAAGGCTTGTAATGAAGTTAACTCAAGAAAAGGGAATATTAAGCTCAAAGGGGTAAACTAGGGCAATTAATCATAAGGGAAGGCATTCTGCAGAAATGTGGTTCATATAATGCAATGTGATTTCAACATTTCCATTAAACTAACATACATGACAGAGAACAACTATTTTAGAGTATTATTCATTCTATTTTTAACCAATTAGCTTCAGAGTGTGATGAATTTAATTCTGCTATCAAAACATGTATTATACAGATGCACAGAATAAATGCTCAACATTGATCCATCACATTCAGAGAAATTTAGATACTCCTAAGTTGAAAATTCAGGATGTGTTCACTATCATTAAAAATTAGGGTGGCGTAGAGCAATATTTTCAAGTTTCAACCAATTTTCAAACATAATTTACAACCCAATCATTCTCAACAAAAAGTTATTCTATCAAAGTAATGCAGAATTACTTGTCCTGGTATTTTCCTAACATTCGATTGCATTACATGCAGTGTATGGTTGCAATTAATCTTATTCAACAGTCTTAGCTCAAACAACTTTTCACTGAATTCTTTTTAGGTCATCCCAATTTTTGCAGAACTTTTATTCAAATATGTACAATCCAAATTCGAATGCTCAATAAATGACAGGGAAGACTTCTTCAGTGTATTGTTCCTACATTGCCTCAGTACCCTATTCTACATTTTTCCAAATTTTTATACGCAGAAAACCCTAGCTACAGTTACAAAGGAATGAGAGTAAGTGTACCTGGCAGGAAGATGTAGTATTGAATGAGAAATGCTGGTTGATTCTAGGTCGACGCACACAGAGAGTGAGATTTGCAGAGAAAGCTTAGACAGAGATGAAGTTTCAAGCATGAAAACTGTGTGTGCGTGCTCAGGTTAGGGATTATATATGGTTACACTGGGCACGTGACAATTTTTTTTAAAAGAAATGAACGTTGTAAAATTAACTGTTCCCAGCGTAATCACTATTATTCGAAAGAGTGAATGTTCCAGAGAGTGAATTTTCCAGAGTGAGGCGCGCGTTATCACTATTGCAGAGCAAAGTGATAACGCACAGCAAAGTGATAACTTTTTTCAATAAAAGTACTAACGCAGAGATATTAGAAGTTTACTTACCTGTGCGTAGTCACTCTTGACAGAAAAAGGAAGCGTTCCAGAGAACTCATTTTCCCATCTGTCTCTGCGTGATCACTTTTATCAGTAAAAGTGATTATTCCAGCAGAAAACCTCAATTTGCATTCTCTGCGTAGCTTCTTTTCTGCAATAAAGTGACTCCTCTCATTAATCAAATACCTCTAAAACCTCAATTAATTCAATTTTCACTCTTTAATCCATCAAATACACACTCTCCACATTGAATCTTAATTCAAGTATATCAATTGTGCCTCAGAAAATCAGATTCAACAGAATATTCACATACATTATGCAGAAACTTCCAGAAATTGATAAAATAAGATTATGCAGAATCTTAAACTCTTAACTACACATTCACCTCATCAATTCTCAGATTAAGCAAGCAAATGTACCTCAGAAACTCAGATTCAGCAATATTTGTGTGGAATTTTTTTTTTGCAGAATATCAGAAATTTACAGAACAATAGTATGCAAAATTCTAAAACCACTATAGAAAGCTTAAACTGGGTTAGAAATGTGAGTTGCCTCTCACAAAGCGCTTCTTTAATGTCACTAGCTTGACATTAGTTGTTCCTCACTCAAGAGGAACCAATTTCAAGCATGATATGTTTCTTGCAAACTCTTCTCCATGATAGATCTTCAATCTTTGGCCATTGACCTTGAATTCCCTCCCTGTTTTCTGATCTTCTATAAGAATTACTCCAAAGGGAGAGGTCTCCTTAATTAAAAGTGGTCCAGACCATCTAAATTTCAATTTCCCTGGAAACAATTTTAATCTCGAATTGGATAGCAGCACTTGCTGGCCAGGTTTGAAATTTTTTTGCAGAATAAACTTGTCATGGATTCTCTTGGTTCTTTCTTTGTACAACTTTGCATTCTCATATGCTTGCTGTCTGAATTCCTCTAATTCATGCAACTGTAGAACTCTCTTCCTTCCAGAACTTGACAAATCGAAATTAAGCCATTTTGTAGTCCAATATGCTCTATGTTCCAGCTCTAGAGGTAGGTGACATGCCTTTCCAAATACTAACTGATATGGAGACATATCAATTGGAGTTTTAAAAGCAGTTATGTATGCCCACAATGAATCATCCAGCCTCTTTGACCAATCCTTCCTTGAGCTGTTCACTACTTTCTCTAGAATTTGCTTGATTTCTCTATTTGAGACTTACACTTGTCCACTTGTTTGTGGATGGTATGGAGTAGCAACATTATGTTTCACGCCATATTTCATTAATACAGCTTCAAGAAACTTGTTGCAGAAATGAGTACCTCCATCACTTATCAGCACTCTAGGCACACCAAATCTTGAAAAAATGTTCTTTCTTATAAGAGAAATCATTATCTTTGCATCATTTGATCTGGTGGGAATTGCTTCTACCCATTTAGACACATAATCCACTGCCACTAAAATGTATTCGTGTGAAAATGATAGGGGAAATGGTCCCATGAAATCAATCCCCCATACATCAAATAGTTCTACTTCTAAGATGTTGGTTAATGGCAGCTCATGTCTTCTTGAGATATTTTCAGTTCTTTGACATTTGTCACAGTTTTCTACATACCTCTTGGCAACTTTGAAGAGTGTAGGCCAAAAGAAACCTGCTTACAAAACTTTTGCAGCAGTTCTTGAATTTGCATGGTGACCTCCATATTCTGAATTGTGACAATGCCATAATATCTCAGCTTGCTCACTTTGTGGAATGCATCTTCTAAGTAACCCATCTACTCCAATTTTGAACAGGTATGGGTCTTCCCATACATAGAATTTGCTGTCATGTAAGAACTTCTTCTTTTGCTGCCAAGTAAACCTCATTGGAATGAATTGAGTGGCTTTAAAATTTGCAATGTCAGCAAACCAAGGCATGTTATCCACTGCAAACAGCTTTTTATCTGGAAATTCTTCATTTATTTCCAATGATTCAGTGGTTGAACTCTCCAAAGGTAATCTGGATAGGCGGTCAGCAACATTGTTTTCTTTCCCTTTCTTGTCTTTGATCTCTAGCTCAAATTCTTGGAGGAGTAGAATCCATCTTAATAATCTGGGCTTTGCATCCTGTTTTGTCAAAAGATATTTAAGAGCAGCATGATCAGTGTATACAATCACTTTTGAGCCCATTAAATATGATCTGAACTTATCAAAAGCATATACAACAGCTAAAAGTTCTTTTTCTGTTGTTGTGTAATTCACTTGTGCAGGATTTAACACTTTGCTTGAATAATAGATAGCATGTAATTTCCTATCTTTCCTCTGTCCTAACACAGCACCTACTGTACTATCACTTGCATCACACATGAGTTCAAAAGGTAGTTTCCAATCTGGTTTTGCAAGAATAGGTGCAGAAATCAATTTCTCTTTTAAAACAGAAATGCATGCAAACAATTATCATCAAATATAAAATCTGCATCCTTTGTAAGTAAATTACTCAAGGGTTTAGCAATCTTGGAAAAATCTTTTATGAATCTTCTATAAAAACTAGCATGTCCTAAAAAACTTCTAACTCCCTTAACATTGATAGATGGAGGCAATTTACTAATGACTTCTATTTTAGCTTGGTCCACTTCCATTCCTTTCTCTGAAATTTTGTGACCAAGGACAATGCCTTCTTGTACCATAAAATGACACTTCTCCTAATTTAACACAAGGTTTGATGAATTTTGGACTTAAAATAAAATAGTTATGACTTTTCTATTTGACTGATTCTAAGAAGTATGTTACTGAGAGTGATAGAGAATGTTTAGGACTTGTTCTGGAATCTGAAAGCCATAAATTTTTAATTATATTTTTATATGAAACTAGATAACCAAAGTGAAAGAATGACACTGATTTCATGAGTTTTGATGATGAATTTAATAACTTATGATTTTTCCAATATGTTGTTGTTAAATTGTGCTATTCTATGACATGAACTGAGAAATTAAAGCACGAATTGATGTCTGGAAATAGTTTTATTTTGGAAGTATTTTTACATGAAAATATACATGTTAATGAGAATAACCTCACTGGTCTCATGTGTTTTGGATGAGAATTGAATTTATTATGAATTTTACAATATGCTGGTTGTTTAGTGAAATGATCTAAGAACAGCAAAGGTAAACTGAAACTTGATTAATTCTTTGGAAGCTTTTGTATTTTGACTGTAATTTTATATTACAGTAGACATTTAAAGGAAGAAAACCTTGGTGATTTCATGATGTTTAAACTTGTATCGAATTAGTTATGAATTTTACAAGTTAGTTTATGAAATCTGAAAAATTTTGAGTTAGCCATGTCCATGTAATCGATTGTTCTCTTGAAATAGAGATGTTATAATGTGCCTGTTGGACAATTAATGGCTATGATATTATTTGTTTTTTTTATTTTGAAAGAGGTTGAATATGCCACGGTACAGGCGAGGAGCAAATAGTGTTGGTCTTACCATAGGGGATAGGAGAATGCCCAAGACTTACAGGAGACCAAGTCTAGCTAACTTGTGTCGTAGGCAGTGGGAACTTTGCTGGCCTATCTTGACAAACACTAGAGCATACCAAAATTGGTTTGAGTGTGGGCTGCTAGTAGTGATCATAAAATAAGAATTGTGCACTTATGTTTTATCTCCAGTAAAAAGAAAAGATGTACCTATGACACCAGCCGAATTGCAGACACGGAACTCTCAATCTCAACCTGAAAATAAAATGTTGGATAATTAATTAATTACTCCATGGATAATTCAAAAACAAAAGACATTGAATAATTATGGCTTGATGCTTGAATATTGTTTCATTCATTTAAGGACAAGTATGGGAATACTTGATATTATTGATGCCTGACTGATGTTTTGTTCATTTAAGCATATGTATTATCTTGTATTATTGTTTATGAATATTTGTAGTCACCCCTCTTCTTTGTTTTGTGTCTTTTGACAATGTTATGAATACATAATGACTCTCATCTAAATGGACCAAAGGAGTAGGAGATGAGCTAATTAGGGAGTAGCTTAAGATTGTTGCAACTAGTTACATGTTTAGTGATTTGTCTTTAAGGGTCACTATGTAGACCTTCAGTTCTTTTATGATGTAATTAGTTGAATGACAAGAAGAAATTTAGAAGGGTTGTAACCTATTAAGCACTATAATATTATGCCATTATATGATAGTACTGTACAAATAAATCCAGCAGATCTGAACTATTGAGCACTATGTTAAGTGTTTTTCTTGTATATTTCATTGAATACTGTACAAATAAATCCAGCAGACCTGAACTATTTAAGGAAACATAATAATTCCCTATTCCATTCTAGGATCCCTCGAATCATGAAATCTTTCGTCATTATACATTTAACAATCACGAAATCCTAACATAACTCGGTTTCCCACAGTAGTACTCCTCCCAAAAGGTAAATATCGTAACAAAAGTACATAATAATGCCAGGTATACACTTCCTACACCCACAACTTTGCGCAACTACAACAAGTGCCCTCATATGGACATAAATGACAATAAAATTCTCTAGGGGGACCAAAATTGCATAAGATCCAAAGTATAGTGACTAAAACTCAAATTAAGCCATAAACTTGCATATGTATTTGTATGTAGTGTTACATTAGGACACCCATCTGGCCACACGAGTGAAAGTTCATGATAATTGAAGTAATGTCTGAATTTGCAATAAGCCTACAATTAATATGTTGCATCTAGAAAATATATTGCATCATGTTTTGATCCTCCAACTGAAGAATACTAGCACGTAACTTTCATATTCTTGTCATGAATTGTCTCATGGCAGCAATGATAGGAAGAGGATTCTCCAAATGGGCAGCATGCCCACAGTTGGGAACTTCCACAACCTCATGTAGGTCATTTCCTTTTTCATGCTTACTTCCCAAGCCAGAGCATAATGCATTAATCATTTCTCGGGCAATTATCTTAAATTTTGTATCCTTCTCTCCATGCATGATAAGAAGGGGTATTCTACAATATGGCAAATCTTCCCACAATGACCTGCCAAGCAGAGAGAGAAAGAAAAGAGGTAACAAATTCTGCAAGTTCTTATAATGGAGCATTAAATGATGACTATATCATTTACATATATAACATTAATATCTGCAAACAATAGAAATTAGTAGTTCAAATTGTTGCCCTTATCAAAGAGTAGATAGTTTGATGCATGTGGATCCCCTCATTCGATGCTACTATTAAAATAGAGTTTTCATAGATAGCAAACATCAACATGTATAATTAGAAACTTCTTCAATGAGTGATCACAGCTCATAGTTAAGGAACTTGATTATTTCCTTTACAGCAAAAATGGTAAATAGGCAAGTTGAATATTTAAGAAATCTTTCAAATTATAGAAGAAACAGAAATAGAGCATTTCAAAGTGACAGGAAATGACTGTAGAAAATATTTCAAATATTCTGCTCTCAGAGCTTTAATTTCCAGTAAATTGCATAAAATTTCGGGTAAGAGCATGAAATCAGGGTGGAAGTTTATTACATGGATTCATATATTTATTTTCCAGAATATGGATTCATGTATTTGTTGTTTTCAATTGTATTAGATGAAGTGCTAAAGGATGGTTCTAGTAACATTTGTTAGCAAATTTAATTCATCTACATCCAACAAATTCACACAAGTAACCAAATTTCATTATTTCTTCAATGTTTTGTAACACAACTGAAGCATTTAAATTTCCCAATTTCTAAGATGGCAGACCAGATCATATTTTGAATAGTGAGCTGAGAGTTATAAATTGCACACTCGAGCAGTGCAAGGTGGCCTCTGGCTGCTATGAGAATCAGGTTGCTCCGCATTTTGTTGTCCTTGTAGTCACATATGCAAATTCTGGCTGTTATCCAGGAAAATCCCTGCTGTTGCAACTGCTATTCCTAATGGGAAAATCTTGTTTACCACATCATTTTGTGAACTGTATGATATGTTTCTATGGGTATTTTTGTGATTTCTCTTTCAGATTTGAAATGCATAGGTTTCCTGTTTTAAGTAAAAATACTACAGTTCTCCACTCTGTTAAGACAAAACACGAAGGCTGATCTGAATGTTGTTTCCGAAAACACAAACCACAGTTTTCTGGCATTGTTTCAAGCCAACTGTCTGTCCGTGCATTGCAGCCCAGCAGCTTTTTGGTCTCTGTATGTTGACATTGAGGTCACTGTTCTTTATTCTTTTTCCTCTGATGTGTTTTTTCTTCACACTTCCTAGTCCATATACTTTTCTACCTAGCACCAAGTTGTCCTTGTTACTAGTGCATCTTCAACCATGTTCACCTGGTGGACCCACTACCCCGTGGTTCATCTCTCTCTCTCTCTCTCTGTGTCAACCATGTCTTCCAATATGGTTGACTGCCCAGTCATTACACTGACATTTTTCTGCCGGTGTTCTGTGCAAGGAGAGAGGACATGCACCATTCAGTGTGATTTTTTGGTGATCGGGCAAACAGGGGAAGGCGCACCAAATCCAAGGGTGTTCGCTGGAAAAATTGCTAGATAAGTCACCAGAATAGCAGCCAGCGGAGGAATGGTGTCCAGAGAAGGTAAAATCAGAAAACGGAATGAGGCGCACAACTTTCAAAAAAGGTTTTGCACCAGCGAGCAGTGGGCCCACTGGGTAATCACAGATTAAGGTTATTTCACGTTAGGATTTAGATACACAGTGGAACATGTATTCATAATAGGAATCATTAATACACAAATTAAATAACAAAATATACAATTACATCATTATCGTAATTATAGAGATATTAACTTCCCTATTTACAACATTACTATAATTACACATTTCCAACATGCAAAATATATATGTAACTATAGTAATAAAACAATTCTATCTTTGTAATTATATTAGGTAAGAATATTCTACAAATATTATGTAATTATTGCTAATATCAATATAAACATATACACTGTTGTGTAGTTGAAACACATGGATTCCATCAACACTTTTAGTTTTCCTTGCCGGTGGGCCAATTTTCAATAGTGAATATTTTTTTTTTCCATAAACTGCACTTCAGTTCCAATTTTTTGGGTCTTCTCTCCAGTGTGCACAGTTCATTGTTGGAGTACTGTTCATAGTCAGAATTACTTTCCAATGCACAATGTTCATTGCTGGAGTTAGAATCTTTGTCTTGTGAGTCATGTCAATTAGGAAAGCATATTCGTACTTCTTTTTCTAGTCACACTATGAGTTGGGCTTCGTCCCCTTTTGTTTAGTTCATTTAGATGTTTAGGGTCTATGTTGTATTTCCTCTACATTAGGGTTTAGATATTTTGTTATTTTTATAAAAGATTTTTCTCGCTGTACTTGGTTATATTTAATGAAAGAATATTTAGAATTATTTTCAATTTTTCAATCCTTTTTTCATGAAACCAAAAATCAATTCGGTATCCCTATTAGCACTTCAAAAAGTGATAATGCACGTGAGTATTTGTCTACTCCGTTTCAGACCTTTATGGCATTTCATGGAGTGTTGCATCAAATATCTAGTCCTCATACCCCCTAATAGAATGGGGTTGCAAAATGCAAGAATAGGCATCTTCTTGAGACCATCCGAACTCTTCTTCTCCACTCTCATGTTCCTAATTAGTTTTGGGGTGATGCGATACTTACTACATGTTATCTCATCAACCACATGCCTTTCTCCATTCTAAAAGGTAAAATTCCTCATCAAGTTCTATATCCTCACCACTCTCTTCATCCTTTACCACCTCGGGTCTTTGGTTCTACATGTTTAGCTCATGCTCTTGATCCTGGCATTGACAAGCTCTCTCCTCAGTCTCATAAGTGTGTTTTTCTCGAGTACCCACGATCTCAAGAAGGGTACAAGTGTTATTCTCCTACTCTTCGCAGGTATTTCATCTTTATTGATGTTACTTTCTTTGATTCTATTCCATTCTTTGGACCTGAAGCATCTACATCTACATTTGAGTCTTCTCCTTCTACGACTACACTTGTTTTAGTCCTTTTTTGTCCTCCAGAGGAGTCTCCGTCCCCTCCAAACCCATCTCCACCTTTGCAAGTCTATCAGCACCATACTCGTCCTGTATTGCCACCACCTAGCACCAGCAACACCATGGACTCACCTTCGGAGCCAACTCTTTTGCCTCATCCTTCGGTCCCACCTCCTAAATCTGCCACTCCCATTGCTCTTTGAAAAGGTATACATTCTACTCTTAATGTGTCTCTTCATTATATTTCTTTGAGTTATCATTGTCTTTCTCCTTCCTATTATTATTGTCTTTCTTCCTTATCCTCTGTTTCTATTCCTAGAGTGCAGGTGATGTATTTGCCTATCCAGGATGGCAACAAGCTATGCTAGACTAGATGTGTGCATTACAGAACAATGGAACTTGGAACTTCGTTCCTCTACCATCAAGAAAGTCAGTTGTTGGTTACTAATGGGTGTATATGGTAAAGGCTATACTCAAATCTTTGGGTTAGATTATGCGAATACTTTTTCTCCCGTGACCAAAATGCCTTTTGTGCGACTATTTCTATCAATTGTTGCCATTCTTCATTGGCCTCTATTAGTTGGATATTAAGAATGTCTTTTTACATGGTGATTTGCTCAAAGAGGTCTACATGGAGCAACCTCCTTACTATGCTGCTTAGGGGGAGTCTTTTGGCTTGTATGTCGACTACGAAAATCTTTATATGGCCGCAAGTAGTCACCCAAAGCATGGTTCAGCAGAATTAGTACTGTGATTCAACAGTTTGGCATGACTCGGAGCAAGGCTAACCATTCTGTCTTCTATCGTCACTCACCTACTAGTTGCATCTACCTAGTTGTTTATGTTGATGACATTGTCACCATCTCGGAATTGCATAGGTGAAACATCTCTTCAAACATTTTTAGACAGTATCTTAGCAAACTCAAATATTCCTCGAGAGTAGCAGTAGCACAATCCAAAAAATGGAATCATCATATCCCAAAGGAAGTATGCAATGGATATTCTAAAAGAAACAGGAATATTAAATTTCAAGACAGTTGACACTCCCATGGATCCCAATGTCAAGCTCCTACCAAATTATGGAGAGCCTCTTCTAGATCCTGAAAGGTACAAACGATTAGTAGAGAAGTTGAACTACCACACTATTGTCCGTCTAAATATCTCGTTCGCAATGAGTGTAGTAAGTCAATTCCTTAACTCTCCATGTAAGAAACATTAGGATGCAGTGACTCACATTGTTTGATACATCAAAAGAGCTCCAGGAAAGGGTCTTTTGTATGAAGACAAAGGACACACTCGAGTCGTGAGGTATTATGATGCAGATTGAGCAGGATCTCTCATTGATAGAAGGTCCATTTCTGGGTTCTGTATATTTTTCGGTGATAACTTTGTCTCTTGGAAAAGCAAGAAGCAAAATGTTGTGGTCAGGTCCAGTGCAGAGGCAAAGTATCAAGCTATGGCTATAGCCAGTCAGGAACTTATATAACTCAAATAGTTGCTTTAGGAACTAAAGTTTGGAGAGATTACACGTCACTTGTATGTGATAACCAGGCCACCATGCATATTACCTCAACTCCATTAAGGGAAAATATCTACTAATTTTTCCAATTCCCATTATCAACTAGCAGATATATTTATTAAGTCACTAAGGGTCTTCGGATTAACTACATATGTAACAAGCTTGGTGCATATGACCTATTTGAATGTTAGAATCTTGTAAATATAATAACTGTTGAAATAAGTGTGAATTGAGTCCCATATGGAATGGGATATGAGCAAGTTAGGGGTTTATAAAGAGATGGACCCATGTACCCATAGCCTTAAGGTTTTGGGATTGCATTGTGGTGTCCTACTAATTGTAAGGCTCCCTACTTAAATACTTTCCCAACCCAACAGTGGTATCAAAGCCCATAAAGGATAAGAAGCTAGAACTCTTACTAGTCATGGTTAAGGAACAAGAACTAGATGTCTTACTAAGAGAGTCCATAAGAGCCCTTAGGCATTCTAACTCTGCTTTGCTGAGAGCTAATACCACATTTTCTGCTGGTGGGGCAGATGCGGCACTTTCATAGTTAGATGTTACCCGATTAACATGTCGTTGTGTAAGCCCTTTGAACCCTCCATCCTTCCCATGGAGCCTAAAACATGTCTCCTTAATATGGCCCATCTTCCTACAATAACTACACAACCTATCATCACGGCTAGCTTTTATTGGTAGCCTTCCAAATGAAGAGCATTTTATAGGACCCTTGCCACTAGCTAAGGCTGAACCATCCATAGGACCCTTGCTCATAGCCAAAGCTGAACCATCAATAGAACTGCCCCCCTTCCAACATAATTGACCTCCGAGTTTCTTCACCTCGTACAATGTGGAACAACTCCGAGAGAGAAGGAAGATCATTCTTGCCCAAAATCTGAACTCGAATCGGATCAAACTCTGAGTTTAGTCCATGCAAGAACTTAAAGATTCGCACCTTTTCTAGGAATTCTGTCAGTGTTTTTGAATCAGCTGTACACTCCATTTTCAAATTCTGATACTGGTCCAACTCAATCCATAAACCATTCAATGTTCCATAGTAATCTGTTACTGAAAGACTCCCTTGTTTGGTATTAAAGATCTTGCTCTCTATTTCATAACATGTTGCAGTATCCTTCTTCATAGAATACGTCTTTCTAAGGTTCTTCCAAATTTCCTTCGCATTGGAGAAAAACATGCAATTCTGGCTGATCTCCGGTGTCATAGAATGCCACAGCCAGGTCAAGATCAGAGAGTCTTCATCATCCCAAGCTTCATATTTTGGGTCCATTTTGGCTGGAGGGCCTCCTTCAATGTGACTCAACTTCTTCCGTCCCTTGAGGGTTGTGCGAACTAACTGAGCTCATTGTAAATAATTTTGCCCATCAAGGCAATAAGATCCTTACAGAACCTGTAGATCGTTAGTATCTTGTCTTCAGATATATTGGGAGAATGATAAATTGCAGAAACAGAAGTCCCTCTTAAAGTAGAATCTCTTAACAGTACTTAAAAGGCCATATTAAGATGAAACAACCCCTTGAACAGAATCAGGGATGGTCAGCGACCAAGTCTGTGGTCGCTCGGTCAAAAAAAAAGTAAAAACAGCAGCTGGGGAGACAGCGCGTGACATACACATGCCGGAGGCAGAACTGGTGATTGACGGCAAAATTTTGGGGATAGGTCAACCTTGAAGAGGCGCTCCTCCTGGTGTGTTTTTCGGTTGGATCCGCGGTGGTCAGTGGCAGACGGCGGCAGACAGTGCTAAAAGTGAGCAGATTCGCAGCAATGAAGGCTGCCTAGAAGATGCAAAAGCAAAGCCCCCTGGATCAGGAGCTCTGATACCAACTTGAAAAAAGGAACAGAATATTATTTGAATAATATTTGAATTGCTTGATTATGATTAATTGAGAGCTTGTACAAAATATATTTATATAGACTACTAGTCTCCTAATTAAGGAAATAAAAAAAAAACTGTACAAATTAAACCAGCCAAATCTGTCCTAATTACATAACAAATCTCCTAATTATATTTTACAACAATAACTGTATATTTGGTAATTATGGTCTCTTCCTTATAAAATTCAATAGCTCCGTTGTGACCAATACACCCAGATTCATTCCAATGTCTCTCAGAATCTCCTCTATCAACAATATGTTTTTATCAAGCCTTAACCATGAATAAGATGAAGTTAGAGGCAGAATGCTTGGTCAGAAGCCATTACCTCCAATTAGAGAAGTCTTCTCAAAAGTCAGACTAGAAGAGGCATGAAGAAGAATTATGCTACGCCCTTCATACTGTGGCATTATAGGTTAGGCACCCAGGCCTTCTGTACTTGAAACATTTGCCTCCTAATGAATCAAAATCCATCTTTGTTTATTTGTGAAGTGTGTCAACTAGCTAAACATCATAAATCATTTTATTATTCTCAATCGTATAAAGAGTCCAGTCCTTTTACTTCAATACATAGTGATGTATGGGGACCTAGTAGAGGCTACCTCTTCTAGAAAAAGATGGTTTGTTTCTTTCATTGATGGTCATATTCAGTTGTCTTAGGACATCACCTAGTGAGATAAGGCTTGGTGTTACCAATTCTGTCTATTTATTCTGGAATGTAATCAGAATTCAGTAAATAAAAATAATATTCCCTCTTCCCTAAAACCTACACACACAATTGTGCGGTTAGGGAATTTTCACTCCTTTGAGATTGCAAAATTCTGTAGGACCAAAATTTTCCAGTTTGTGGCCAGATTAGGTTTTGATTTGAGGTTTCATTTGTGTTCACCTATATCCTTGTGTCTAACAGTCAGTGTTTTGCATATTAATCTGACACCATAGTTACCTGGTTGCCAGTTGAACATCATCTATTTAGTTTTATTATAGATTTTTCCTCTGCTGCTGCATGCTGATGGATTTCACCACACGGGGGAGGGAGGATACTTTATTGAGCAGTGATCATGCATGTATCAATTGATTTATTATACATTGTATATATTATATTTTTCATGTCTTGAATGTTCTTTGTACAAAACAATTTTCACAAAACCTCTGAGATATTAAGGGCTTTGGATATGGTTGTTCCTAATCCTATAAATAAGATGCTGCATGGAGAAGAAGACAATAACAAATAACCAAAGCTAAGGAATTAGAAAATAGTTAATAAGCTTAATTAGCTTACGGTTGCCTTCCTATGCTTAATCCGGACAGCATCTGTGCAAGATTCTGCATGTCATCATGCTTCAAGCGACAAGCAATGATTTGATTGAAATGAGGATGACTCCTTAAGCTGTTTGATAAAACAATTGTTGAGACTTACAGAAGGAATAAATCATACAAGTACGGTAACATCAACATAAATCCCTGAACAATTTAAAGGTTAGAATAGAAACAAAGGTTACCTTTTCCACAGCCGTCCTGCATACCAGGAACTCAGGAAAAGTTGTAAACCATGTGCAACAACTGTGCGAGCTCTAGAATCATCTTTAGCTGCACGAATTTTTCTTGATAATTTATCTTTTAATCCAGGGCTTCCAGATATTAATACAGCTCCTTTTGTCTGCAACATAGAAGTTCAAATTGTTTACCAATTGTCATGAAAACATTAAAACAAAGTAATAACATTGAATATAACTCCAATACCTTAGTGCTAAATTTCAGTGCCATATACAATGCAATTCTTGCTCCCATTGAATACCCAACGAGTGTAACTTTTGCTGGAGCTATAAGGTAAATTAATTTATGCAATATAGCAGCAATTATTTCCAGTGACAACCATGGTTCCTCACCAGCACCCTTTGCACCATTTAATATCGATTTTCCATGACCAGGAAGGTCAACTGAAATGCATCTTGCTGAACCAGAAAAGGTCTTCATGATACTAATCCAATCTTCACCAGTTCCAAGAAAACCATGAAGAAATACCAGTACATTATCCTACATTTGCTAAATCTAACTAAATCAGATCTGTATGAAGGAATCAATTTTTACTTTCAAGTTAAGACATGCAAAGATTGAGTATTTTACACATTTATAGAGCAGATTTGCTTAATAGAGAAAGCAAAGGCACAGAGACTGAACTTAAAATTAGCCATTGGATTTCCATTCATTATAATAACCGTAACATCTGTTCACTTGGTATATTTTTGCAATTTCAATAACTGTATGATCCCATCTGATATATGATACAGTTTAAGAGTGTATGTTAAGAATCCAAAGACATAAAGCATTATAATCTTCTGCTTGACTTTATTTGCATATATTTTTATGTTAATGTAAGAGCATATATAAATATGGAAGGACTTAGGGTGCACTCTATATATTTATGTTATCATATTAATATTCTGCATCTAAATTAATATTAATAAATAAGCATTAAAGGACAGTGAATCAAAATATTGACCGTTAATCACAGCAAATTTATTAAATTTTAAGAACTTAACTAAAACAATAATTATTTTGTACGGAAAAACTTTTACTTACATTTGTTTTAGGCCCTGTTTCACGAACTTCAAATAAACAAGACAAATTGTCAAGGTCTACCTTGAATTGGTACTGACGAACTGGCTCCTCAACAATAACGTTAGAGATTACATTCTGGTTGACTTGAAAATCATGTACAAATTGACTAGCATTCACCACAGATGCTTCAATAAAACCACTATGGGGATTACGACAAATCAAAAGAGGATTTGGTGCTACATCTTCTTTAAGCCAACGATATGTTCCTAGACCATGAGCTACAATAGGTGCTGCTATATTATCTAACATTTTGAATGTATTTGAACTCAGTATTTCTAGATAACTAGAAAACTGAGTATATGCAGACAGACTAAGACTGCTTTCAAATGCAGCACTAACAACAGCCATCTTCCCTAGCTGGTGAGCCCACTGCGCAATTAATGCTGCATTCTCAAATCCACCAACAACACTTGGTTTAATCACCTGAAAAATCAAAATAAAATTCTAAATAAGACAGAGTTAGCATTTTACATGCACAAGATCATTTAACTGAGCTTTTTAAATTGTAAATAAAGTTCTGACAGGGAATCACAAAAGATGATTACATTCATTTAATCAAGATATTGATCCAGTTGGAGCGACAATAGTCAAACACACATAAAAAGTAAATGTCTTCACAATTCCAAATCAGTCAGCATCATCATCATCATCACTGAATGCAGTACTATGGAAGCTCAATAATGATTAAGCATTGTTTCTAGTTTTTTCTAATCCTACCGCATGAATTAAAGGTACAAAATATGGATAGGATAGCATAACTTTTAGCAGATTGGGTTATCAATTTGATTTGATTTGATTTGATTTATTTTAGGGATTTTGATTTGGGATTATTTGTCTATTTTGATTTATAAGTACAGTAGCACCAAAATCAAACAAAGCTGTTGTTTTGATTTGGGATTATTTTGCTATTAAGGGATTTTATTCTCTTTACTTTTGGCTCATATTGGGCTTAAGAGTTTATTGAGTCTATAAATAGGTTCTCTATGTGCACACAAATTCGCTTTTACTTCATTTTCACAATTGAGTCAGAGAGTATCCACCCTAGAAGAGTACTCTAGGTTTATTCAGGGGAGTACACTGCCAAAGGGAGCACCTTTGGAGTTATGTTCTACATCATAATTATTTCATTAGTATATCCCTAAAAACTAAAGTCTTGCTGTCGCTGACTATAGGTAGGCTAAATTTATCTCTATTCCACAGAAAAGTGACCTTGCAGTTTGATAAAATAATTATATTTTGATTTTGGAAAGAAACATAGTACCACTACCAGAATGAATTATAGCTACCCTGCTCCTTAATATGTTATAGAAATTCTTATTTACATACAACAGCAGCTATTGCTGGATGAGTAAACTTCACTAGCTTTTCCATGGGATTTTCTTGAATTTTATCTATGGTTTCATCTAGCGCAACAGGTAAGCCACTTTCTTCACAAAACTTGAGAATATCATCTTCATGCTGAACAGGTTCCTGCAAGGAGGACATTTGAATCATGTTAAAATTGTATCAAAAACATACAGCAATAAATGTATTGGTCTAGACATGTTTGAATGAATGCTTATTTTTGACAGCTTTGTGAGAAAGCTTTCACAACCAACCATGTAGGGAGACTCTAAAGAAAACTTGAGAATCCATGAAATATTAAAAATGTCTTATTTTCTTCTTAGTCTACCTCAATATACTGCAGGTTACAATCCTTAACCAAAGAGCTGAATTTTATAGCTTCTTCATAAGTCCAGTTTCGATTAGCATCTGCTCGGATGATAATGTGGCAACCAACTTTCTTTCGCACTTCTTGTATTAATGACGCATCCTTTATTGGATCACCCCCACGTGCTACCTGCATAGCATTATAACCTATTGGCTTTTAGCCTCTCCAATAGTTAGTCTGTATAAAATGCAGCAGAGAACTGACTGTATATCCAGCAGAAACTAAATAATGAAATAGTAGTTCACCTTCAGCTTAATAGCAGAAAATCCTTCCGCAATTAATGAGGCAGCAACATTAGCTACTTCAGTTGGAGACCCATTTGAATCAATTAGTGCACAAATCTGAACATTTAATGACCTTTCACATTTATTGTTCTCATTTGTTGGGGGATGGAGTATGTTCAACATGTTGGTGCCTTTTACATCAGCAATGGCATTGAGGATAGCCATTTCCAGACCACATCTGACACTGGGAAAAATAGAAGATGGCTGCATCACAGAATCAAGAAAACGTTAAATTTGATTGTATTAAGATTTGAAAAATTTATCTTCAAGGAAAAAGTTTCCCAATCTATTCAGGTGTCACAGGAGCACATTAAAGAAACCTTCAACGTACCTGTATTCTGTAATCACACCCCTCATACAAAATCATTTTGTTAGAAAAGAACTTAATTCCAGATCAAGGAACTCATCACCCAAAAGTTTAAGCTTTTAGGTGTGGGTTCATTAGTGGTTCTTATTTATATTATATATCTAGCCATTGTCTAAATGATGTAGATTAGACAGCTTACCAAGATGCCCAACTCACTCCATATCCAATTTGAAAATGAACCCTTCAATAGAGAGAGGAAGCAACTAATATCAACCTGTTGCATGACATGTATAAGAAACCTGAGTTGATGCTCCGCATCTACCAGATTTTCCTTGTGGATCTCAAGAGGTGCAACCTGTTTGGTGCCAATAACAGACTAACAGTGTTTTAAAAAGCTTGAGAGACTGTTGTACAGAAAGTTCGAAAAGGAATTGGATAACAAAAAAAGGAATTGTTACATACAAAGATAAGGGCTAAGAATTTACAACACTAACCACTCGTGATTAACTCAGCTCAAGAGTGGATGACTATCACTCTTGAACTGTTTGAACCACATGATTGATTAATGGATCTTGCAAATGTTAGATGTTAGATCTTGCATTGTGTGTAATTCATGCAAAGAAAAACTTGACAAAAAATTTTCTTGTTGAGCACAAAATTAATATAAATCACTTGTCCTCCCTTCAATCAAAGTTATGTAAATTATTTGGGAGTTATACTCTCAAAGTTCTGTAAATTGGGAGTTCTTCCACAATCTTCGTAATATTTGAACCAGTTTCTAACACAATGACACAATATAAATATTTGCTCCGGTACATAACACAAGACACATGAATTCATTCACATGTTGTCTCGTTCTTTTCTGTCAACATGTTATCTATTAAATATATGTAATTATAGTTGTTGAGAAAGGAGGATAAGAAACATAGGATGAATTTGTGTGTCTTGACTACATACCGAAACATATATTTATAATAGAAACTATTGATACAAAATAAGAAGTTACTATAATTACAAAGATACTAATTTTCCTATTTATAATATTACTATAATAAATAATTACATAATTCCAACACTCCCTCTCATGCAAGAGCATATAAATCATATGCACCAAGTTTGTTGCATATATAAATAATTCAAGGACCTCTTAAAGACTTGGTATAGACATTTGCCTGTTGATTATGAGAATTAACAAAACTAGTAATGATGTCTACAGATAAAATCTTCTCTCTAATGAAGTGACAATCTATCTCAATGTATTCAGTCCTCTCATTGAAAACTAGATTTGACTCAATATGTAAAGCTGCCTAATTATCACAAGCATCATCTCTCTAACTTCTCCAAATCTTAATTCTTTGAGTAGTTGTTTAAGCCATATAAGTTCACAAGTGGCTAAAGCCATGGCTAAAGGGGAACTAGAGATGTACGAAAAGAAGTCTTAAAAGGAAGACTGGGCTTCATCTTAAGTAAATGTTATGATTCTCTAGTCTTGAGTATACTGTGAAGCCCATATGCATATAAACAATTACCACTGGCCTAACCTGTTCCATTATGTAATCATTATTATATTTAAGTTATTCTGTCTAAAACAGTATAACAGTGTATTTCTAGTTTACAATGTAATGAAACACATACATATTATAAATAAATGCTAATCATCATCAAATCCCTACAGATATTAACAAGTTATATTTCTAACAATCATAAACCAAGACACCAAATTAAAACAAGATACAAAAGAAGATATAATTTCTAAAGGATACCAACCTCACCATAACCAACACTTCCATCTTCAAGAATTAAAGAAAAAATAAATCCTTCTCTATAGAATTCCTTACAACTATCATCAATAGATGCAGATGTTAGAGGAGCACTTAGTGCAATTCTGCCACCGAACCATTGCATACACAGGAAAAGAATTGAAAGAAATGAAAATTAATATCAAATCTCCAAATAGGAAAGTAGTGATAAGAATCTAGGTATAATGTGACAACTCACCTATATTTTAAGCAGTGTATTTTAGAAATTTTGTATAAACAAAAGTCATCCTTTATAGAGCCTTGACTGAAAATCACTGAGAGGAATCTTATGGTGTGTTGAGCAGTTTGGAGAGCAATTTTTTTCAAAATGCTGAACCGAGAGAGACATGTCAGGAAAGAGGTGATAATACATTCAAACAACAAAATATTAAATAAGTGTCACGCATATAAACCTGTGAAAGCTAGCATTGGCATCAATGGAACTCTCAATTTCAACCATACAATCCAGCCGTTCATGTTGAGCTACACACAAAGCTTCTTCAAGTTCTACCTTTGTCTTCACATGTAAATGTTTGATACTGCAAGTATAATGAGTTTTTCCTCAGGAAAAGTTAGGATTGGAAAGCATGAACTGTAGATATCCAAATAATTGGGCAAAATATTTAAGTTCAAACAGAATACATAATGCATATTTACTTGCTGTTATACATTACAGAATTTCTGCTATTGCTATGCTGACACCTATTACAAGATCAGGATAGTATTAATTCGTCAGGTAATATTAAACAAGTAACAGTGAAAATCTCATGTTAATACTGCCCTTCTTGTATTGTAACAACAACCCACTACTGCAATGTTTCAAGATCAAATTAGAAAAGACCATACCAACTCTCCATTCATGAGTATAAAGTTGAAATAGACATCCCAGTAACTGCCGTAGCACAAGAGCAAAGTAAACACAATGCAACAACAATCAAGCCTTATCTCACTAGGTAATGTCGGTTACATGGATCACACAACACAACTGAGCTCGGTCAAAAACCAAATTTTCAGACTTAATGTAAACACTATTCAAATTTGATGTCTCCCATTTTTTTCTACCAAACAGAATAAAGTATCAAACAACTTAATGGCATCAGTTACATAATAAGCAACCAGAGAAAGAGAAGGATATACCATAAAGAAAACAGAAATATCAATAAGACAAAAGCATCTTTCACATAATTCTTGCCCAATATTTAGATTCATACCCATGTGCCATGCATAGCGCACGAATCGAAATGTTATGAGCGGTGTAAAAATATTGATGCAGTATACAGGGTTCAACTTTATCTGCCAAAGGGAGAAAACTGAAAATTGCACCTCCATGATTATTAACCACAAGAATTGTCATTGGTTTCCGCAATTTCCTAAAAGTTGAAATATTTTTAGAATGTTAGCTGTGGAACATGCAAGTATAAGCAGCCATAGTATAGCCTTATTGACCAATAAGTATGTTCAGAGAGATATGTGACAAAATGTGAATAAATATGTGTGTTTGAATTCAAAAGTAGAGCATATATTTATATTAGGAGTCATAAATACAAGGGTAATAATTATTGCTAAGATATTATGTTATTAGCTATCAAGTAATCTGTTATTATAACCCAATATTCGGTAGATATTTCCTACCTCTGGTTCAAAATTGTCAAACCATTTGTATCATGCAGTAAAGAGATATCTCCAATTACACAAAAGACCTGAAGAAATAATGAAATTGAAAGAGACAATGTTACAAAAGAGAAAGGAAAATACTGAATCAAAAAATAAATGGAGAAAACAATTTTCAAAGACACCAAAATGAAAAAACAAATAAAGTTGACGAGAAAGTTGTTGGTTGCAAGTGGGTGTACACTGTCAAGTATCACTCAAATGGCACCCTTGATTAGTACAAGACGAGACTGATTGCAAAAGGATACACCCAAACTTATGGAATTGATTATGAAGAAACTTTTGCACTGGTCGCAAAGATGAACACTGTCAGGATCATTCTTTCATTAGCAGCACATCTTGGATGGGAACTACACTAGTATGATGTTAAAAAAGCTTTTCTACATAGAGACTTGGAGGAATAGGTGTATATGGATATCCCACCTAAGTATGGTCCGAGTGATGGTGAAAACAAGGCATGTAGACTGAAGAAGGCTCTCTATGGACTTAAATGCAAGGTTTGGATGATTCACTCATGCATAAAACACTGAAAAAGTGGCAAGCTAAACATTTTGTTAGTGTATGTGGATGACATGATCATTGCATGTGATGATGAAGTAAAACTCAGCAATTGAAGGAAGAACTAGCCGCTCAGTTTAGAATGAAAGACTTGGGAAAACCGAAGTACTTTCTTGGAATTGAGTTTTCGAGACAAGGTATTTTGATTTCAAAAAAAAAAAAGTATGTTCTTGATCTCCTCAAGGAAACAGGGAAAGTTGGTTGTAAGGCCATCAAATCACCTATAGAACATAATCACAGAATCAGAAACAATGAGGAGCCCACCTATGTAAAAAACACAGTATCAGAGACTTGTGGGAAAGCTTATCTAGCACATACTAGGCCTGACATCGCTTATGCTGTTAGGATGGTCAACCAGTTTATGCGTGACACTAGAGAGAGATATTTACAAGCTGTCAACAAGATTCTTCAATATCTGAAAGAAAGTCCAAGAAGAGGGTTGCTATTTAAGAAAGAAGAAATGTTATCCATTGAAATGTACATTGGTGCAGATTATGTGGGATCGGTCATTCATAGAAGGTCTATCCCAGGATATTGCATGTTTTTGGGAGGGAATTTGTTAATAGTGCACTACAGTGGCGCTATCGTGCCAGCGGGGCATAGCATGACCGTCGGCCTCCATGATGCAGGGCATTTGTCACGTTGCGGCAGTTGCAGGGGTTTGAAGCCAGGATAGGAGCAGTTCGCATGCGCTATTGCGCAATTTTGTGAGAGTATAAAAACCCTATTCTGTTTTTCCTAAAATAGTGTGTTTTGATTAATATTAAGGATAGAAAGATCATTTACTACCCTTTATAAAACCTATATCAAATTAATTTCATCTTCTTTGCATGCTCCTCTTTGCACGAAAAGTCAGGGCCTTAGTGGTTTCTCACTAGCTCACTCATTCCATTTCACTAGCAAAATAAGTTTTTCCGACGTCTTCTCTGTTTTTCTGTTCAACAGAGAAATCAGCTTTACTGGATTCTCCTCCGTTTTTCTGTTCACTAATCACTCTTGCTTCAAGCTCTATTTTTCTCTTCATCTTCTGCTTTGCTGTTCAAGCTCTATTTTGATGTTCATGCTCTGGTTTTTTCTCTCCACTATCCTTTTCTGTTCATGATTTCATGCCTTTTTTTGCTGAAAGAGATAAAGCATTGCTTTTCTAAAAGTGCTAAAGCTCTATTTTTCTGTTCATCCTCTGCTTGAAATGATATCGTTTGAAAACATTTCCCTGTGGGGCCACCACTCATAGGTGTATTTTTTTTTCAGAAAACATGTCTCCGGTTTCTGATATTTTTTTGCCACTACTGTTCACTCCACCAGCGACTTTTCTGAATGCACTAGTCAATCTCCAACGACTTTCCAGCAGCACTGTTCACACCCCCGGCGTGCTTTTTTTACTGGCTTACCACCACCACTGGTGTTGCCCCCCTTTGTGCAACCCAACCCAACCCCGTGGTCACTTTCTCCATTTGAGTTTCAACTGCTGCTTTTACCTTGTTTTGCCACTATTTGGTTGCATTTCTCTCTCTTCTAAGCTGGCCCATGGCGACTCCAGGTCCTCCTAAACTTGAAGCTTCGATATTCACACTGCTCTGCTGTCTACTGACAAGCTGGATGGTAATAACTATGATTCTGGGGCCTCTGACACATGGATGTAGTTGCAGCTCGAAAACTTGATGGCACTATGTCAACCTATTTGAGAGACTCCACAATCTATCAAGACCACTACTTTCTCCTTCCCTATTTGTCTCCATACTTTCCAAGAATTTCTGGAAATAAGTCCTGCAATGGCAAACATGAACAACTGCAGTATTCTCTGGCTGTCCTGCACATCATCTTCCCTATTCCTTTCCTCCAATAATTCCTCAGGTTCCCAAGATGTATCTCATCTACCAGCAACATGTGTAATTGCTTATTTCTACACACATGGTTGGGCCCAAACTTGTCATCACAATGGAAACATAACCCTTTTCACAACTTTTCTTGCATTTCTTCCTCAGATAATGTTTTGATTGCAGCACCCCTACTTCGAGTTCACCCCATGTTACTGCCTCTACTGCTCAAAGTTTCAGAAGACTACCCCTTTCCCTTCGTACTAGCAACTGCTGAGGTTGGGTACCCTACCTCTCTCGAATAGCTTCTAGTTGCAGAAAAAGGTCTGTACAGGCTAGCAGGTCTACTTCCTGTCTGTGTCCCTATTTTTCCCCCAGTCTGATCTTTTCTTCTGTTAAGAGAAAATAAAACTAAAGAGCATTGAGTGAATCCGTGTGTCTCAACTACACACCAGAGCATATATTTATATTAGGAGTATTGATACAAGGATTAAGTACAGAGATATTATGGTTACTTACAAGAATATTATTTCGCTAAATGCAGCATATCATTTCCCTAATTACAGCATTACTATAATTACATGTTTCCATATTTGCATATTTCTAACACTCCCCCTAAAGCTTGAGCATATAGATCATATGCACCAAGTTTATCACATATGTAACTAATTCGAGGACCTCTCAAAGACTTAGTAAAAACATTTGCCAGTTGGTCATTTGAATTGACAAAGCTTGTGGTAATGTCCCCCGATAAGATCTTCTCACGAATGAAGTGGCAATCGATCTCAATGTGCTTTGTCCTATCATGAAATACCGAATTTGAGACAAAATGCAAGGTTGCTTGGTTATCACAAACAAATGTCATTTGTGTAATCTCCCCAAATCTCAGTTCTTTGAAAAGTTTCAGCCCCATAAGTCCACATGTGGCTAAAGCCATGGCTCGATATTCTGCTTCCGCACTTGATCGAGCAACTACACTTTGCTTCTTACTTTTCCAAGAAATCAAATTCTCTCCAATAAGAATGCAATAACCAAAAGTAGATCTTCTATTAACAGGAGAACCTGCCCATTCTACATCAGAGCAACCTACAATCTGAGCATGACCCTTGTCCTCATACACGAGTCCTTTTCCTGGGGCTTCTTTGATATATTTTAAGATGTGAATCAATGCGTCCCAGTGTCCTTTACAGGGAGAATTAAGAAATTGACTTACCACACTGACTGCATAAGAGATGTCTGGACGAGTCACATTAAGATAGTTTAGCTTCCCAACCAATCTCCATATTTCTCTGGGTCCGAAAGAGGCTTCCCTTAACTTGGCAGAAGTTTAGAATTAGGATCTATAGGAGTATCCACAGGTTTAGCACTCATCAAACCTGTTTCCTCTAAGATACCCAATGCGTACTTCCTTTAGGAAATAACAATACCATTCGTAGATTGTCACCACTATTCCCAAGAAGTATCAAAATCTGCCAAGATCTTGTCTAAAAATGGTGACATAGGTGTTGCTTTATTTGTGTAATGTCATGATGATCACTACTAATAATAACAATGTTGTCGACATAAACAATCAAGTAAATGCATCCTGTGGGTGAATGGCGGTAGAAAATTGAATGATCTGCTTCACTCTGAGTCATCCTGCAAAACCATGCCCTAGGAGACTGTTTAAGGCCTTACAAGGATTTTTGAAGACGACAGACTAATCCGGAAGACTCCCCTTAAACAACAAAACCAAGAGGTTGCTCCAAATAGACTTCCTCAGTGAGATCACCATGAAGAAAAAAATTCTTGATGTCAAGCTGATAAAGAGGTCAATAGCGAATGGCAGCCATGGACAAGAATAAGCGAACAGAGGCCATTTTGGCCACTAGAGAGAAAGTGCCACCATAATCCAAGCCAAAGATTTGGGTATAACCTTTGACGACAAAGCAAGCTTTAAGGCGATCAACACGCCCATCAAGTCCAAACTTAACTGTGTAAACCCATCGGCATCCAACAACTAATTTGCCCGCTAGTAGGGGAGCTAGGTCCCCAGTTCCACTGTTCTGAAGTGCACTCATCTCATCAAACATAGCTTGACGCCAACCAAGATGTGAAAGAGCTTCATCTGGATGTTTAGGAATAGAAACAGAAGACAAAGACGAAAGGCACATATAATGGAAGGAAGATAAACGATGATATGATAAAGCAACATAATGAGGAGATGGATTATGAGTGGAACGTATACCTTTACAAAGAGCAATAAGAAGATCAGTCTCAGAAGGCAAGGCCAGAATAAGTGAATAATTTGGAGTCAGTAGTGAGTCAGATGGGGTCCCTTCATTGGCTAGTGGTAGCACAGGAGATGGGTGGGGCCGGCGGAGATAAACCTGTAAAGGATGCAAAGGAGGAGCATCTGGAGGAGAGTCATCTGGTAGAAGTGGTGTCTCTGGGGGTTGAAAAACAACAGGAACAGGTGGGAGAGATGTGACAGACTGAGAAGGTGTTGGAGAAGAGTCAGACCCAAAGTAAGGAACAGGCTCAAAGTAAGTAACATCAGTTGAGATAAGATAGCATTTAAGGATGGAAGAGTAACACTTATAACCTTTTTGAGATCGACTGTAACCAAAGAAGATACATTTGTGAGCATGAGGCAAAAGTTTGTCAACCCTGGACTAAGATTATGAACAAAGCATGTTGACCCAAAAACACGAGGAGATAAAGGATGAAAGGACTGGTGAGGAAACAAGACAAAGTGTGGTACCTAGTTATTAAGAGTAGAAGAAGGCATACGATTGATAAGATAACAGGTTGTAAGGACAGCATCGGCCCAAAATTGATGAGGAACATTACCATGAAAAAGGAGAATCCGAGTAGTCTCAATAAGATGTCTATTCTTCCTTTCAGCAACCCCATTTTGTTAAGGGGTATGTGCACAAGAGGTTTGATGAAGAGTGTCATTGGAAGCCATAAATGATTGAAAAGATTGAGACAAATATTCTTTTGCATTATCACTACGTAAAATACGAATGGGAACACCAAATTGACTTTTAATTTCATGGTAAAAGAACTTAAAAATAGAGAATAAGTCAAAAAGATTTTTCATTAAAAACAACTAAGTACAACGAGAATAATCGTCAATGAAGGTAACAAAATACTTAAACCCTAAGGTAGACATAGTACAACTAGGACCCAAACATCTGAATGGACCAAACAAAAAGGAGACGCAGCTCGTTTATTGACACAATTATGAAAACTACGAATATGTTTTCCTAATTGACATAACTCATAAGACAAAGTAGATAATGTGGAGAGACGCGGCACCATTTGCTGGAGCTTCTGAAGACTAGGGTGACCCAACTAAGCATGAAGAAGGAGAGGAGAATTCACCACCGATCCAACATGAGCCGAGGGATGAAGTTGATATAATCCATGTGACTCACATCCAGTGCCAATCATCCGTCCCAAAATCTAGTCCTGTGTAAAAATACAGAGCCTTTAGTGAAAGAAACCACACAGTCAAGAAAACGAGTAAGACGACTTATAGAGAGAAGATTAAAAGGAGACCCAAGAATATATAAGACACTATTGATAAAAAGTGATGAAAGGGGATGAACAATACTAAGGCCCTGAGACTGTGTTTGAGACCCGTCAGCCAGAATAACAGAAGGTAAATAAGCAAAGGTAGATAGAGAAGAAAAAATAAACTTATTACTAGTAATGTGATCAGTAGTGCCAGAGTCGAGGACCCATGGACCAAGAGAGGTAGAGTGAGATATACCAGCAAAAGAATTACCCGTATGTGCAACAAAAGCAGTGAAAGTAGAGGTCTGGCGATCCTCATACCACTTGAGAAATTGGAAAGGATAGCAGGAGGCGCCTAAGAAGCAGACGGCAAAGTGGTAGTTTCAGGCAGTGGTAGTGGAGCAGCCTAGACAGCATTCACAGTATGAGGGGGACGACCATGGAGAGCAAAGCACTGGTCTATGATGTGACCAAATTTATGACAATGGTCACACTTGGGACGACCTTTACTAGGTTTGCGGGGGCGACTATGGTCACTATTCTGAGAGACCAAAGCAGCGGGATCAATGTGTACAAGAGGCACATCCGGGTCAAAAGAAGACCTGGGCGGTATACGAAGTAAGGTGGACCAAGCAGAATTCATAGTAGGAACAGTAGGAGAGCCCAAAATCTGATCCCGAACCAGAGTAATCAATAGGTACCCGATACAAGGCTAATAGCATAAAGAAGGTCTTTCGTTGGTCCAATTCCTTTGCACGGGTATCAGCGGGAGGCAAGAGTTCATTAAAGTTATGAAGAACACCACTGACCTTGCCCAAATATTCAAACATTGTTCCATCAAGACGGCGAAGATCAATGACACTCGTGAGATCTTGACAAACCCCATAAAGACGCTGAGTGTCATTGGTATAGAGTTCCTTAGCCTGTAGCCAAACAGTCTCACAAGTCTCATCAGAACGAAAAATTTGCCGCAAAGAAGGATGAATGGTGGACTTGATGCTGCAAAGCTGGACATCGATCTTACTCCACTTTTCACGGTCAGCAGTATCCACAGAGTCTTCCTTGGTCGTAAGGTGGTCCACATAGCCTTGGCCCTTAAGCCAAAGTTTGATGTCGAAGGCCCAAGAATCATAGTTGCAGCCGTCAAGCTTCTCCGTATAGAATGAGGTAGTAATATAATTAGTAAAATGGATGCATCAGCTTTGGAAGTAGCAGAACTAACCATGGATTGCAACGAGGAGAGAGAAAACACCTACAACAGAAAAAAAAAAATAGAAACAACCTGGTAGAGGCTCAAAAGGAAAAAACTGAGGGCAGATTCAGAACCAGTAGAGCAAGAGGAGTCTGGGGGTATAATCGCCGTCTGGAAAATTCGTCGGAACAGTACACTGCGATGAACAGTAACATTAGAACAATGTCGCCAGAACAGAACAGAGACCAGAAATTGGAAGGAAAACACGATTTCTGGAAAAAAAAAGTTCAACTGATGAGCAGTGGGCCCACTGAAAATACACGAAATAGGATTACTCTTTCGCTGGCTCTTTGATACCATGTGAAGAGAAAATAAAACGAAAAAGCATTGAGTGAATCCGTGTGTCTCAACTACACACCGGAGCATATATTTATATTCGGAGTATTGATACAAGGATTAATTACATAGATATTATGGTTACCTAATTATCATAATTACAAGAATATTATTTCCCTAAATGCAGCATATCATCTCCCTAATTACTGCATTACTATAATTACATGTTTTTATATTTGCATATTTCTAACATCTTCCACCATTTGAGCCTTTGTCATCAAATCTGCCAAGTTGTTTGGTTCATGTTCACCTCTGCCTTGATGTCATCTTGTAATCCATTCAAGAATATTGCCACCAAATAATCTTGCTCCATCCCCTTCAAGAACCCTGCATACAGCTCAAATTGTTCAATATGTTCCCTCCAGAGTGCCTCCTTGTCTCAACCAAAGCAGAATTTCGAATGGGTTTCTCATCATAGTGTGTTGGAACTGCCTTATCACAGCTACCTTGAATGATTCCCACGTTGGATTAGGGTTGCAAGATTCCAACCATTGAAACCAATTCAGAGCCTTTCCCTCCAAGGCTACCATCACTGCTTGTATCCGGTCTTCCTGCAATACGATCTCTCCAATTGTTTGTCCACCCATATGCCTCTTCCCCATAAAAATGGCTATATCAAGTTTGCGCCAACAAGAACTGTGATCTTGTTGTTGTTGTCCATTCTCCGACCCCCTATTTGACTCAACATCCATATCACCTTTGCCTACATGTTTCTGTCCCTGAGACAGTCTCCCAACTAGATCTGCAAGGTTCCTGATCATGTCTTCCATTTTCTTTCCTTTTTTAGTTGCTGCATTTATAGGAGAATTATGTTGCCCTAATTTCCAGGGCTAGATTAATTATACAGATCTGATTTCTTTCCTCTATTTATACTCCTTCATTGTACCAAATTTGCATCAGTGAAATATAATTCACTTTTCTGCAATATTTCTTTATTTTATCTACTTAATTGGGTGGGTTTAGATGGTTGAATTGCAAATGTTTAGCATATGGAAACAATTTCTTTTTACAACTTGACAAAAGTCGAGTACTTGTGGGCCTGTCATTTAGGCCCCCACCCCCACCTCAAATTTCCCACACAACCCTCAATGGGATTAACCAATCTTCTTATTATTTATGCCAAATTAGTACTGCAGCATTGGACATACTTTGAACTCTTTATTTCCTACAAGACATACTACTCAATCAAAATTACATATTGTAATAAGAGAAAAACCCTATTTTAAACTCTATATTCCTACAAGAGACAGTTAAGTACAGCAACCAGCAGCTAATATATTCATGAAATGGGTTGTTCTGAAAATATAAGCAGTTACCTTTTTGTTGCATCCTACAGAAAAACCAATGGCTGTGCTCAGTAACCCATCAATACCACTTGCACCCCTGTTAGCAGCCACCCTCATCAAGTTGATTGGCAGGTCTGAATTTAACATGAATGATGAAACACTATTGTGTATGGACCAACTACATCCATACATATTTGCATCACGAATAGGCATACTGTTACCGAGAAAAAGAGCAGACTCAGAGGAAAGAGCTTTGGACATCACATGTGCAACATAAGGTTCAGTTAGCGAACACTCAGCAGTAATTTGAAATTGTATCTGCCATTCAACCTACAAATTAAAATGTTATTAGTGAAATTTTACTACGAAATGACTATAGTTGTATCCAATACGAAGAAATTATTATTAGACAAACAGAAACCTCAAAGCGTAGTTATCTAATGCCATTCCAGCAACATTTTAATGGAAAAGATTGCCAACTATAGACATGCTTTCAAATGATATCAGACAACTGGATAGATACCACAGGAATACATCAGACTAAATGTAAAAGAGAAAATTGCTAACATTATCATAACAAGAAGTGACTTTTCATTACAGGAATTAATACCATTTTACTCAACAATTGAAGGGAAGTGCTCCACATGCTCCTTGTATGTGGAACGACAGCCTTAAGTATACAGCCCACAAATTCAAAAATGGAAGTTTGTATCCGATGAGTTACAATATGTGATGGATCATGACGATGTGGATGCTTGTCAACCATAATATATGAAAAAGGAGCACACTCCTCAAGAACTTGGTAGATTCTTTTGCTAGTTATCCTGCTTCCTATCTGTTCCGAATTAAAACAAGCAGGACAGGAACAAGTGGAAAAGGTATAACTATCAAATCAAAAAATGAATATATGCAAAAAAAGAGAAATTTTAAATAGAAAATACAAATTATAGAAGAAAATAGATGGGGAATTGGGTAAAGATCCATGAATAAGTGGTACCTGAATAACCACATCAATCTGTAACCAGTCCTTGACAGAATCTGAGGGAAGAGCATGATCAAGATTATCAACAAATATGAAATTCCGATCAATTTCAGGAAAAGAAGTTAAAAGCTTTCTCAATCGCAACCCTGACAAGATATCTGCCACAACAGGCCACTGGAGGTGTTTAGCCAAAAGCAAAGCAGCCCACATCTCATCCTCAGTATGGATAGCACCAAATAATAGAAGACTATTTTTGGCTCTTAGAATCAGGTTTAAAACTTCAACCATTTCTCCAGGAGCATTTATACAAGTATGAGACAATTGCATATGAATATACTTGGTAAATGGTTCAGCATTAGTCATCCAGTAGTCTAATCCCTTTAAAAAGCTTCTTGACCATTTGCAGGGATTGCCTTCCAAAGGCTCTCTGAAAGGGCAGTTTATGTGCACAGGACCACACGGTGAACTTGTTGCCCAATGTACAGCAGAATCAAGAGTAGTAAGTACCATCTTTGCAGGAATTTCATCTGTGGGTGTAGGGAGATTAAAGAAAAATCTCACAAAAGAACCAAAATGATTCACCTGATATGAAAATTGAATGTGTAGCTTGAGTAACCAAGAAACATGGATATAAAGATCCCTACATTCCAAACGACTAATATACTTGCCAGTGCAACTAACTATATTCTCATTAAAAAAACTTAGACTCACCAATTTAATGCAGCAAATACAGTGATGAATTTTACTTTTGTAACATATATAGAAACAAAATAGGGCCCATTTTGCAAGAACGGCAAGGTGGCTACTTTGTGAGCAACTTGCAACAGGTACAAATCACTAAACTGCCTGTTTGCTCACAAGGCAAGGGAGTGTATTCAGACTCTCCCCAAAACCCCACGCTTAACACTTCCCTTTTTGTAATTTTTCCAAACAATAAATAAGAACAGAAAGCATTCTATAATTTACACAAACCAATAAGAAAAGTCCAAGCATAAGCACACATCTTAATATATGATATAAAATAATTCATATGGCTTCACTTAACATCTTAAGCTTTTGGAATCTTTCATCATGACATGGCACTGAAAGTTTTATGGGCAAGTGGTCTAAAATTTATCCTTGTTGCCCCCATTATTCTAATAAAAAGTTGAATTTCAGCACGAGGTAGAAGGGCTTGTGCATTATCGACACTTCCAAGCCCAAAGGGCTCAAGAAAGAAGGGGCATGTTAAAAATATAATATAAAAACCATTTATGCATATTCAATTAACAACATATACTATTAAGATAAAATATATCAATAAATCATTTTGAAGTGGGGTTAAAGAAAGGCGGCCATTTCATATGTTCTTATCTTCTATCCACATTCTATGTTGTATATCTACCTGTACCATAATATTAAAGAACATTGATGGTTTTAACCTGATCAATAGCTTGGTTTGCCCCACAATCCAGAAGCTCTGGAGGTCGATCTGCTGTAAGCAAAATAAGTGGCACAAAATCTTGACTTGCCTCCACAACCTGCACATTTTATAGCCACCTAAAGTGATCAAAATATTTTTGCATCTTAAGAAACTGGAGCTAGATATCCCTTTGTTGAAAATCTACAACTCAAATTGATGGAAGTAAGAGTAAAACAAGTGGGAGTAATAAAGGAAGCAGAGCAACCAGTTGAACAGATTCTTGAAAATCGAAAATTAATTATTTCATAAAAATTTATAATGCATGTAATAGTGACAGCACACAGAATGATAACTGATAGACCCTTGGAATTTGATACAGATTAATTACTTGATCCAAGCCCTGCAAGACCCCAATTATGGTAAGTATATTCTAGAAAAAAGAGAATACCATCTACCAGTGTGGCAGTAGTTAGGAATCTGGTATTCTGTTAGGAGGGAATCTGGTTTATAAGGGAATAGGGGAGAGGAAAGAAAGTACGTATGCTGTGAATTTGAGAGAAAGGAACAGGAGGAGGTGTGGTCAGGGCTTCTGATTGAAAGAAATTGCTGTTGTAAGAATTGTGGCTCTGGTGAGGTGACTTGAAGTTGAATGACAGTAATAAGTAATTTGTACAATATTTATACACAAAAGGGAGCTATTTACGGAAACTAAATCACGAACCAAATAATAGGCAACTATACAGCTAATAATATCTCAACACTCCCCTCAAGTTGGAGCATATATATCATATGCATCCAGTTTGTTACATATTTACATTATACTAGGGCCGCGTAAAGACTTTGTAAAAATATCTGCCAACCAATCTTTAGAGCAAACAAACAAAGGAAGTCTTGATGATGCCAAAGAGAATCTTTCCCCCAATAAAATGGCAATCCACCTCGATATATTTTGCTTTCTCACGAAACACTAGAGTGGAGAAAGGTGACACATAAGCTCAATAGGACCAACCTCACAAAAATGCAACTACTGAAGTAAATGTTGCAGCACAGTGGCTCACATGTAGTGTGAGCCAATGCACGATACTTAGCCTTTGTACTTGACCTAGAAACAACACTTTGCTTTTTATTTTTCCATGAGACAAGATTACCTCCCATGAAAAAATAGCATGAAGTGGACCGCCTCTCTCCTACATTTCCTGCCCAATCTGCATCTGAGCATCCAACAATATTAGGGTGCCCCTTATCAGTGTAAACAAGTTCCTTTCCAAGTGATCCTTTAATGTAAGAATTCGGACAACAGCATGGCAATGACACTCACAAGGAGAGTTAAGGAATTGACTTACAACTCTGACAGGGAACGATATATCAAGTTGAAGATAGTTTAAAGAAATTAATTAGTACTACTTATACCAACAAAATGTATTTACTTTTCAGTAGCCTATCACTTAAGAATTCCAAGGTTAATCGTGCTTAACTTGGAGCAATTATAGGATGAATCCTCGGAAGTTCTTACGAAATGTATGAGTGAGGACATAACACATTTAAAAAACTTGTGTTGATTTGTGGGGACAATGTCAATCTTGAATAAGCGGCCAAGCATTACAAGAGTTCACACACACAAAAGGAATGCAATTGAAACAAGGAGATTCCATTAATTAAAGTGATTTGGAATGAAACCGACAATGGATATCCACTAGGGAACATGAGCATGTAACATTAAAAAGGGAGAGGATTAACTGAGAAATGTTCAAAGTGTTGAATACTTTATCATGCATCATGAACATGATATTGAGATGATTTTTTATGCAACAATTTGGCACAGTTGTGGAATGCTATGTGTTCAGGTTCTAGGTAGACCTTGAGAGTGGCTTAGGGGGGGAGAAGGGGATGACTCAATGGTACAGAATAGCTCACTGTGACCAGGTCACACCACTCTCCCAAGATCAAACTCGGTCTCCTACTCAGAGGTGTCCATCGACCTAGACCATGGTCCAACCATGTCCTCGTCATCACTCCCTATCCATCCAAGAATCAAGGGTGGAACGACAAGGTGGAAACGACGATAAAGTCTCAGCATAAAGATCTCAGCATCAGCATCGTCAATAAAGTGGCACTCCCAACCCCCTCGTTCACAGGCCATATTCCCCCGGTCACTAACCCATGATAAGAGCACTCACGCATGATAGGGTCATAAATCCATAGGTCCTCTTCAAAGGGTAAGATCAAAATCTTCACTCGGTCGCAACTCATATGTATACACATTACAACATCCAAAATGGAAGAAACGAAAGAAAATACAAAAAGCACAAGGGTGAATCCACACAACTAACACACAAGTCACATTCACAATAATTCACAAACAGGGGTCAACCGTGTCACTAATAATCATCAGCAAGATATATAATCGCACACATAATTTAATACAAACATACATAATAAAGAAATTCATAAGAAACTTGTATCATGCATCATAAGACATGTATCTTTGTATTAAGTTATGTGTGATTATGTCTCCTTGACAATTATTAGTGACATAGTTGATTGTGAGCTTGTTTCTAAATTGCTATGTGAATGTGACTTGTGTGTTATTGTGTTGTGGACCCCTTCATGCTTTTGTATTTTCTTTCTTTTTGAATGTTTATTTGTGATGTGTTTACAGATGAGTCACAACCGGCTAAAGTTCTAGATCCTACCCTCCCAAGAGAAAATGTAGATCTATGACCCTAGCACGCATGAGGGCTCTTAGCATAGGTTGAGAACATTGTGCTATAAATGCACATTTATCAAGTCCAAAGTGAGGAGTCTCACAGAACAGATCCATAGTCCTTATGAAGGCCGTGAAGGATAAACACCATGTACATATTATCAAGCTTGCAACATCTTTTGGAGATCATCACTAACAAGCATTAATTTACGCTCTTCATTGGTGGACTGGCCCAGTTCAAATATGAGTGTAAATCATTATCAGTCATTTGGAGGGTTGTCAAGCCACGAACAAGCTCATACAACCTTTGGATGTCATTAGCACATTCAATGGACTGCCACAGCAAGGAGAAAAGCTGATAATCTGCCCACTACCATTCATTCCTCACTTCTTTACCAATCTCTTAAGCCTTCATAGTAAGGTGATCAAAGAGTCCTTGGCCTAAGAACCATAAGTCAACAGCACTAGACCAGTCCAGATAATTCTTACCATTCAGCTTGTTTATAGTAATTACGGAAAAATCAAAGAATGCAAAAGAGATCAATTCTTTTTTAGAACTCAACTTTGGAGTCATCCTTTGGGAGTATGTCAAACATGGGAGCTTCTACCATGAGGAGAGGCGTTGAGGAGAAAAGTCGAAGACTCTCTTGAAAGAACACAGAACTAGATCAGAACTTCATCGAACAAAATATTGCCCAAAGAATGTCAATGAACAGTGGCAAAGAACAGCCAAACAGCAACTAAGACTGTGACCCACAATTTAGAAGCGATCAAAAACAAACTGGGGAGCCAAGACGAACCAGAAGAGACAGACGTTGACAGTCTAAAGTGGATAGGGCAGCACATGGATCTCACACGCTGGGTGCTGGTGAGCCTGCAACAACAGCACATGAGCGCATGTGGAGAGGTTTCAGTGACAGCACTTGGCAGAGAGACCAATTGGCAGCTTCTGAACTGGACAGTGGTGTTACATTAGACACCCAACACCTGAGATGAAAACAAGTCAGCCTCCTTGACTGCAGCTGAGCACAAAAAACTAGGGTTTCTCTTATACCAAATTGAAGTTGAATGAGAGTAATATTTTTCATTTATTTCTGAGTAATTTTTACAGTATTTATATACAAAAGTGACAACCTCAATCCCTAAAGTTTAGGGATTTGGATTCAGCTATTTACGGTAACTAAATAACAAACCAAACAATAGGCAACTATACAGCTAATAATATCTCAACAAGGGGCATTAAGTAGTGAACTGAGTGTAATTCTCTCTCTTTTAACAAGAATCTCTATTTTCAGCGTGGTATTCTATCAATAACAAACCAAACCACTAGAACTAAATCAATATTAATGGAACTTACAGCCGGAAGAAGGTTGGAAACGGCAGTGCCTGATGATGTTATGACTACTGCTGGAATGCTAGATCCTTTTCCATATCCCACAGCATGAAATGCAAGTGAACGCTCATCAAGGCATGAAATGCATGTGATTAATTTGTGACTTGCAGCAGCAACAGCAAGTGGGGAAGATCTAGATCCAGGAGCAATGCAGAAATACTAATAGAAACAATAAATAAGAATCATATTTCTCAAGGTGAAGAATAGATTTATAATCATCTCACCATCAAACCAAGTCTGGTGCACTCTTCAACAATAAGTGTTGCCCATACAGCGTTGAAGTTTGGACTTCCATTCAGTGAGTGCGATAATTCACTGGTATGATCCAACTGAGAATATATGGGAGAACAAACTTCAGCCAAATTTACTCAGTCTAGCATTATTAAAATAAATCCTCAATTCACTTCACAGTAAGATAAAAAATAAAACTGACATAGCATTACAAAGCAACCAGAAATAACATGGCTATTGAATAATTTTCTTGTTTTCTCTATCGTAAAGAAATCTAATTATCCATCAGCTTAAGGCATTTGCCAACCTTCAAAAGTGGAGCCTGTTTTTTAGATTTAGACCATACAGTTATCATTTCAATTTCAAATATCGATCTAGTTCTTAAGAAAATTGAATTTGAGATAGAATTTGTTCTTTAAAACCCAACAATATAAAGCACAAACTCATCTCACTGTTTGAAGCATCATAGTGTAAGACGTTTCTGACATCAACACCTCCCTGACACTTGATTGACTAGTCTTAGACATTCCCCATGAATTGTCCAATTATAAAATTATTTTTTGTCAGCTCAGATACTTTAGCTGGCACTTCAATATGGATAGGACACAAACTAGTATTATTATTAAAAATATTTATTTTTTTAACTTTTAGAAAAGTTAGTTCAAAGGATAATGTAAAACATTAAAAAGTAATTTCTTTTACTTTTCTTTTAAGGCTTCACTAACAAAGGAAAAATATAATAGTTAGAGTTGAAAATAAGTGTGAAGGAATTAAAATATTATTTTCTGATATTGAATGCTGTACAGGGTCTATACATTTTATAGGGAGCAAATATGTCTAAATAAGTAAATAATAAATTACAAGGAGAATAAAAATAAATCAAATCTGCTCCTAAGAAAAGGAAATAAATCTGTGATGAATAGAAATAATCTCCTAAATTTATGCCTGTTTACAACACTCCCCCTCAAGCTGGTGAGTGGATATCATTTCCCAGCTTGCAAGTAAGATGCTGAAGTCACTTAGTTGATAGGCCTTTAGTTAGAGCATCTGCTAGTTGGTGTTCAAAAGGAACATAAGTAGTCATTACCAAGCCACTGTCCAACTTTTCTTTGATAAAATGCCAATGTATCTCAATATGTTTAGTCCTGTCATGCTGAACTAGGTTGTGTGCAACACTAATGGCTGACTTATTATCACATAATAGTCTCATGGGAACCTCATACTTTACTTTGAGGTCATCTATTATGATCTTCATCCATAACAACTCACAGACCCCTTGACCCATAATAGCTCTTAACTCCACCTCTGCACTTGACCTTGCAACAACATTTTGCTTCTTACTCCTCCATGCAACCAAGTTTCCCCCCAAAAACATGCAGTACCCAGTTGTGGATCTCTTATCAACTATTGACCCTGCATAATCAGCATCGGTGTATACTTCCATAGCGAGCTTTCCCTCCTTCTTAAACAATAGTCCTCCTCCTGGGTTTGACTTTAAGTATTGGAGTATTTTATTCACAGCTTGCAAGTGCCTTTCTCGTGAATCATGCATGAACTAGCTAATGACACTAACTGCATAGGCTATATCTGTTCTTGTGTGGGCTAAATAAATGAGTTTTCCCACCAATCTCTGATATTGGACCCTTTCCACCTTTGGGCTCTCCTCATCACTTCCAATTCTGTGGTTTTGCTCGATAGGTGCTCTGGTGGTCTTGCATCCCAACTTGTCAGTCTCTTTGAGGAGATCGAGAACATATTTCCTTGGGAGATAAAGATGCCTTGTTTGGAGTAGGCAACTTCTATCCTAAGGAAGTACTTCAGCTTTTGTAGGTCCTTCATTTCAAACTGAGCAGTTAATTTTTCCCTTAGAGCCTGTCTTTCAAGCTCATCATCACCTGCAATAACCATATCGTCTATATATACCAAAAGAAGTGTAAGTTTTCTTTCTTGGGAATGTTTAATAAAAAGAGTATGGTCACCTTGACTCTACCTGTATCCCAAGGAAATCATAGTTTGGACGAGTCTCCCAAACCAAGCATGAGGAGACTGCTTGAGGCCATACAAGGCCTTTTTTAACCTGCACACCTTATTCCTTCCATCAATGGGGTCATAGCCTGGTGGGATCTCCATATAGACTTCTTCCTCCAAGTCTCCATGCAGAAAGGCATTTTTAATCATCAACTGATGTAGCTCCCAACCAAAATGAGCTGCTAAGGAGAGAATGATCCTCACTGTATTCATCTTTGCCACTGGTGCAAACGTCTCATCATAATCAATCCCATAGGTCTGACTGTATCCCTTTGCAACAAGTCTTGCCTTGTACCAATCTAGAGTGCCATCTAACCGATACTTCACAGTATATATCCACCTGCATCCCACAGACTTGTCCTTGGGTTTTTCAACAATCTCCTAAGTCATATTCTTCTCTAATGCACTGATTTCTTCATTCATGGCTCAAATCCAATTCTCATCCTTTAAGGCTTCTTGTACTGAAGTAGGGGTTCTGACATAATCAATAGCTGAAACAAAGCTTTGATGCTATACAGAAAGGTGTTAAGTGGACACAAACTGAGATATGGGATACTTAGCACAAGATCTTTTTCCTTTTCGCAAGGCTATGGGCAAGTCGAAAGATTCAAGGGTTTGAGTACTTACCTCCGGCTTGGACTGTTGAAGTTGCTTTTGGACCAGGCCGAGTTTTTGTCTTCTCTCATATTTGACACTATAAAATTTATCTTCATCATTGTGTGCTGGTTCAGGATCCTTATCCCTATCAAGGATAGTATTGTCATCAACAACTGTAGGTGAAGGCATCAAATTTTGCATAAGAGGGATAGATGACATAAGAGGGACAGATGACAACTGAATGGACTCAGCTTCTAGATTATACTCCCCCTGAAGTTGAGGACTACTATAAAAAGACTCTTTCATGAAAGGTGACATACATGGAGACAGACTCGACAACTTTGAGGATGATAACGTTTATATCCCTTTTTGTCTGGAGCATAACCTATGAAGATACATTTGATAGCGCAAGGATCTAATTTTCCCCAATGAGGACCATGAACATGGACAAATGCAGAACATCCAAAGACACGACACTGAAGGCTAGTCATGACAAAAACAGAAGGAAAGAAAGTAGTTATGACTCATGAGTTAAACAGGCTAATACCATTTAGAATATGAGAAGGTAATTTGTTTATCAGATAGGTGGCAGTTAAGACAGCTTCTCCCGAATACGACTTAGGCACAAACATTTGAAAGAGTAATGTTCTAGCAACTTCAAGAAGATGGCGGTTTTTCCTTTCAACAACCCCATTTTGTTGTATAGTATATACACAAGTCAATTCATGAACAACACGATTATCTGTTAGAAACTTGAAGAAGTTCTGATTCACATACTCCTTCCCATTATCGGATCGTATTCTTTTAATTGATCTCCCAAACTAGGTTTGGATCATCCAATAAAACTTCACAAATAATTGCAAGACCACAGACTTATCTTTCATCAAAAATATCCATGTAGTGCAGTGCATGTACAATCATCCATAAACGAGACAAACCACCTTGCACCAAAAACATTAGGAGTAGAAGCAGGCCCCCATACATCAGAATGGACAAGATCAAAAGGTTAACTACTTTTATTATTACTAGGAAGAAAAGTGGTACGATGGTGTTTGGCAAACTGATAAATATCACAATTAAAAGACTCAACAAACTCTTTGGTAAACAAATGGGGAGACAAACACTTAAGAACATTAACAGTAGGATGTTCAAGACGCCTGTGTTGAAGCCAAATTTGAGAAGTTAAGGATCCTGAACTGCTCTGGTGACAGAAACTGAATGTTTTCTGCTTGATATTGCTCTTACTCTCTTCAAGCCTCACATAATTCAACCCGTCCCATTCCTCAGCAACTTCAATTGTCCTCCCCGTGACAAGATCCTAAAGACACAATGGGAGTGGAAAAAGGTCACTGCACACTTTAAGTCTTTGGCTAGTTTGTGAATTGATACAAAATTATTGGAGAGTTTAGGAACATGAAGCACGTTTTTTGAATGAAAGGAAGGTTGAAGTTGAATGACACCACATCCAGTAACTGCTATATGGGAACCATTAGCAACAGTTATGTGGTATTTGTTAGGAAGCTTGGTGTACGATGAGAAGTTTGAGGGATATGGTGTCATGTGATCAGTAGCACCAAAGTCAATGATCCAGAGTTTTCTAGCACAAGAAGCTAGAATTCTTACCTGTCATAGTAAGAGAACAAGTTCCAAAGGCTTACTCAATGAATTCATGAGCCCGTAGACGTTCCAATTCAGCCTTGTTAAATGCCGGGACGCTTACTCAAGGACTTTCTCCTTACCATGAAGTTTGAAACAGGTTTCCTTAGTGTGGCCCAACTTCTTACAATGTGTGCACCAACGATCATCCCTATTAAATCTTGCAGGGGCCTTTTCAAAATAGGAGGATCCTTTAATGGGAGCCTTTCCAGAGGCTAGAGCTAAGCCATCTATGGATTTTTCATCCAGCATAACTGCCCTGCGGCTATCTTCAGCCCAAACAGTCTTATCTCCGAGAGAGAAGGGAGTTTTTCCTTGCCTAGAATCTGAAATCTAATAGGATCATATTCAGAATTTAGGCCAGAAAGATCCGCACTTTTTGAACAAACTATATCAATGTAGCAGTATCCTCCTTGCACTTCATTACCAAATTCTAATATTGATCCAATTCAATCCACAATCCAGTCAACATCTCATAATAGTCAGTTACTGATAGAGACCCCTACTTAGTGTTGAAGATTTTATTCTCCAGCTCATAACAAGCTGAGATATTTTGTTTCATGGAGTAGGTCTATCCCAAGTTCTCCCAAATCTCCCGAGCAATGGAGAAGAACATGTACTTTCGGCTAATCTCCGGAATCATAGTGCCATAACCAAGTCATAATATGAGAGTCTTCATCATCCCAAGTCTCATAATGCAGGTCAGTCTTGTCGGGGGGTTTTCCTTCAATATGGCTCAACTTCTTACGTCCCTTAAGAGTGGTGTGGATGAGTTGGGGTCTACTAGAGGTAATTATGTCCATCAAGGCAGAATGTT